TTTCAAACGTAGGGCTTCCGGCAATACAAATCTTAACATGTCGACAAGTTAAGGAATACTCTACTGTATGTTTATTTTATTTGATTTTAATGTCTTTTTAAAATCGCACTTATACATTCCATGTGGGGAAATATGTTGCCCTAGTTGATGTAATCGATCTCATTGTTTAGGAGCTAAGTCATTCAGTAGTCGGTATCTCCTTCTCTTAGGCACAGGAAGTCCTCCTGCAGCAAGCTGAATCCGTGTGATGTCATTCACAGTCTAGATTTCCTTCAGTACTCGAATGAAGATGAAGATGTGAGCGTTTGGGATTTTTTTGAGTTCGTTGTGCCACCTTTCTAAGCTGTTGGTCGTTCTAGGTCAGTCATTGTCATAGTGGCTCCAAACCTGTCTGTCGCCTTCCATCCACTGGGTGGTACAAAGTCGGTAAACGCAGCGGTGTCCACGGCTAAGTCGACGTCCTCCAGGTCATGATGTGGAGGAAGGAGAGGGAGTACAGCAACACCGTGAATTAGTCTATAGAAGTCTTCGTTCTCTCTGTAGTAGGTATGGAGTCTTAGTTGTTGGGTCTTTCTCCAAATGTACTGTGTGAAGAGGAAGAAGCAACCTCTGATGGCAATACCGAAGAAGGCGGCATTCTGGGCAGCAGACTCGAAGTCCAGGAAAACTGTAGACGGGTCAGTGCGTAGTAGTTGTTGCTCCTCCATCACAGACGCAGACATTTGGTTGATCGCCGTGGCATGAATCATGTACAATTGCTTGAAAAGTTTAGGGCATGTGTAGAACATCCTGTCACAGTTTAGTGTGTCGTCTGCTGCGAATTCTCTGAGGTTCCTGGTGGTGGCGAAGGCTATGATGCAGAGGTTGTCTCTATTGTTATCAAATTGGAGAAACTGGTCGCCGTTGTTGGTGTGGGTCCGTTTCTCTTCCTAGACGAGATCTGTTAGGGATATTGGGTAGTCATGGAGGATGTGTAGGTTGGAAGCTGTTCCACCAGTTGTCTCTCAGCTACCTGGACATGTGTCTGTAATTTGACGATCTCTCCATCGTAGATGGCGGTTATGGACTTCAGTTCCTCTCTGCACTTCTTCTTAATGCTGATCATAAACCTCTAAACTTCTCCCTGGAAACGATCGGGTAGATGATTGTGTTGGTGACCAACTTTCACAGGAACGCCGTCGGTAGTGTTGATGGTTGCAGGACATTCTCGAACAGAGCATCTCCAATAAGTATTATCTCGGTAGTTGTTCTTACCATCTTCAGGTAACCAGTTTGGAACAGAGTCCTACCTTCATGTCTGTTAGCAGTAAACTGGACTTGCATTGGATAGTTCGCCATTATGAGAATGATGTTACTTCGAAATTGACGGCATACATACCTATTTCATAGCTTGGGTAATAACCTCACTCAGTTAGTAGATTTCACCCCTGCAGCAACTAGATTAGCTTGGATATTTACTTCACACACTTCTGATTACCTCAAATAACAGTACACTCGAAGTTATTTTAAAGGAAATTAATTGCATCATTTTTTTTTTTTTTTTTTTTGTAAATTTTATTTCATATTACTTACATATAATTACCGTAATGAGAAGTTATTTATTCATAAACTAATGCATAAGTTAATTGTATAATACACCAAATTTGTTCAACTATTTATTCCATTCTATTTACCGTGAATAGGAAGTATTCCACTTGAAAATAATCATTTAATTATATCAGATGACTTTTCTAAGTATCAATCAAATGTGGTAAAATGTATTGAATGTTAAAAGTAAGCGGAGTGAGGGGGTCACTTCTTTCTTACAGCTTTCGTTTTTGCTTTAAAAAATTACAGTCGAATTTCGCTTATTGACGTTGCGTTATGTATGTGTTCTTTTCTCAAATGCAGATGTGTCAAAACGAGGCTTTGGGACCCCGTCCTCTGACATGTTTCCTGTACAATGGACTAACAACTAAACAGTTGCGATCTTTTCTACTAGATCGCCGAGCGTCCGCAGCATGTGTACTTTACCACCTTACACGACTGGAGGACACCAAGTCAAACCATACGACAGTGCAATCGCCATCCAGTATCCACAGTGCAGGGAATTGTCATGGGCTGTCATCTACCAATGGGTTTACATCCAAACCAGTTGCAAAGGATACCTCTCATACGTCACATGCGTTTGATTACACCATCCTTACCCCGCAGAAAAAACAACATCGACAGAATCTGAATAACCAAGTCATCTCATTGAATGATCGACAATAATTGATTTTTTTTTTCGCTCAAATTCTGTCAATGATAGAACTTAATGTCCAGGATATGTTGACGGAAGCAACGACTGTAATTGGCAATGCCATTTCTGTTTCATTATTGATAATTAAAAGGAATTTGTAAGGAGAAGTTTGTGTCTTTAATAATAATAATAAATAGTCAATAAACAGCGGCATTTCTCTCTGCAAATATATTGAAGCATATATCACAACAGTTTTATGCAGAAATCCTCGTGTAGTATCTTGCCATTGTTGAAGGTTCTGCAAATGTGTGATATATGTTGTATTTTTTCTTATGTTATGGTCAAAACAGAATAATTATATCATGGTATTCAATATGATCCTTAGGTTAACTGACCCGAAGAGCCAGAGTGGTCAAGAATATACATGCATTGTCACTGTCCGTCCGCCGTGCTCAGTGCGTTAACTTAATATATCTGCCACAACTCCTGGCCGATTTTAACCATTCCGAATTTATCTTTGGGTCAAGACATTTCAAATGGTAAAATATTCAAACTCCTGCAAATTTTCAAAACGAGAAATTAACCAAACAGTGAAATTCGCGGAAGGGCAAAATAGCCAAACTTTGAAAATACATGTATATTCTCAACAACTAAAAAGGAAGGCTGTCGGCTTCCTTTTGTTATTCTAATCGTTATATGAAGACTGTCTACAATCATTTGTCGTGTTTATTATCTGTCGTTGTGTGAAGACTGTCTGCAATTTTTCGTCATGTTTATGTCCTGTTATTCTTATTTTTTTTCTATTAAAATTCATTTAAACATAGGTATTCATAGAACAAAAATCAAATATTCGCCCGATCAGTAGAATCTACCATATGCACCATTTATTACCATCTGACAGTTCAATTGTCCATTTTTACGGCGCCATCGTATCTATTATACATGTACACGCATCGATTATTTCTTGAATACTGAATATACACGAATAGCTAGTGCCAATTAAGTATTATCAACCAATAAATGTACTACATCGTACTTCTTTTTACCACAACTTGCAATTTTATGTGAAGATGTACATTATGTTTCAAACAATTGACTGTCCACACTGTTTAATAAGTAACTGTGTTAGATATCTCTTCCGCATAACGATACCACAGTATTTCAGTCGTATTCGCTGGTGATATGTTGGTGTATGACGATCGGGATTAATACAGGGATCTGGTAATATTAAAGACGAATTTTACTACGTAAGTAAAGACAAAAAGTTCGTTTTAATTCTTAGCAACTCTTACTTGGTGATATCCGCTGTGCCAAAACCAGTTATAATATTCCTTAAGGTCGCCGTAACGTGCTGTATAATTGAGTACTAAGATGTGTATTTATGAGAAAATATGGTTTTATGACCGAAAGAGATCATGTGTATCCATGCAATCAGTATATTACTTTTTGTGTAAAATGTATACATCTAGGCACAAATTTTACATGTTTTGAAATTATTGTACTAAAATCAATAGTATTATAAGTATTTAATAAGGTATCTTTTTTATTTATGTCTTCGTTGATATTTACTATTGTCATGTTGACAGGAAAGAGAAAGCGTCTCGTAAGTCTTATAGTACACAGAATAAAGCTGATGTATTATTGAATGGAACAAGTTTAATCAATTTTCTTGTACAAGCTAATGGTTAAAGTGATATTTGAATGTGTGACTTTGTCCAGCTGAATACACGACAAACACTTCTATATACACAGCTTATCTCGACCTTATGGAACCAACTATTCTTACCGGTCTTGCTCCTCTGAAGATTCTATATTTATATCGCCTATGAAGGAGAGATCATTGAGTAATCAATATATATATGTATTGTGAGGATGATTATAACTACTCTCGGAATGACCACCCTTTGTATGACTGTGTATTGTAAGGATGATTATAACTACTCTCGGAATTATCGCCCTTGGAATGAGTACTTCCAGATGAACCTTTCTTTGGATGTGTGCTGTGAGAGTAACCATGACAACTCGCGATTGAACCATTATTTGTATTAATGTCACGTCGTTAAATCGGTCTGATATGAGTGAATTGACTGATGTTTCTCTCTTTTTATTGTAAATATTTTCAGTTTAGTTGATTACATCTCGATAATTATCCGACCTATACTATAATTATAGCAATTACTTTGATAATCAGTTAAATTGAAATTGAACTATATGTATGTGGACACAGTGTCCAATAACGCACAACTTAAAAATGTCTACTACCACAGTATACAGAGGTTACGGCATTAACCTACATTTGCACATATGTATTACAAGGTGTAGATGTAAACAATTGTTCCATTTCATAAATTGAAGAATTTCGGGTGTAAACCAACTGGTTGTGACATACCTTTTAGATTACCTTGTACCTTGCACACATGTAAATGAGGACACATATACTTCCTAAACTTAGCGTTAATGAACCACGCTTTGCTGCTTAGTTGACAGCTATACACTAGCAAATCTCTCATACACATCTGAATATGTACCGACACTATAAATAGACTGTTTAGGTAACGTCATGGGCACGGTCAGCGAACATACAGAACAGGAGTCATTATTTAGTATCAGGAATTATGAAATGCGTACAACATTCGCTTGGATCGAAGCTTCTTTTAAGTGATTACTAACGTAAACGTTGCATCTTTGAACTTATTTCACTGAAAGGCCAAGAAACGGGAACAACCGGTGTATGGAGAGGGATTGACATTTGCTGTCCGAAAGAACCTGTATTGTTGACATGGGAATAAAAACTCTAGACATCCGTGTGAATGGGGGACAGTCCGTGTTCTACCCAGGTCAGATCGTCCAAGGAAATGTATATGTGGAGGTGGAAAGTGACACCAAAGTCAGAGGTAAGCTCTGGTAGACATGTCGAGGATTAAAGTGCTCTAACGTTTTATGTTATACTTTGCTATTATGAAAACGCTTAAGATTAAATGAGGTAATTCATGAATAAACAACGTATAGAAAGACGATAGAAAGGGTATTGATCAAAGGAGATCTGTACTGGCACCTTTTACTGATGTGTACAACATGCCACCTTGTATGGAATGTAGTACGCCTGCAATGATTGACTTGTGGAAAGATAAGTCAGTGCATGGTAATGATGTTTGAGATTTGAGACGATAAAATACAGAATGAAATGGATGAAGTACAGCGTAAGGGGGGCTCCCCCAGACCCTGAACACTCTTGAAAGTATACACTCCTAAACAAATTACAACGCCACGGCCAGTCTATTAATTTATTTCCAAGCTATATTTACTTAACACGCGATTCACCAACTCTGGTACACTTTCCTTCGACAATATCCAAATGTATGATCAAAACGTGTGTAATTTGATCTTATTTAAAATTAAGGAAATGTGGTGTGAAAGAAACTGTTTAAGGAAGGCAACGAAAGAAAAAAGATAAAAATTGTCATGATTTCATTTTCAAACGATTAAATTATATATATATATATATATAAAGTGTTGCTATCTGGACGTGAAAGGACATGTTATGCATTTTTGCAATCACTATAATGTACTGAAAAATAGCGAATATATCTTTCGCGCGAAAATATCTATGTTTTCAGAGATACGATTGCGCTTTCGAGGCTATGCAGATGTGCACTGGACTGAACAAAAATCATCTGGCAGTGGAAAAAATCGAAGAACATACACGAAGCATTACCGAAACCATGAAACCTACTTCGACACTATTACAAAAGTCCTGATGCCAGGTAAGTGGGGCGTTAGCCTATAATAAGCAAATCACAATCATTTAGTTAAATTACTTTGTTTTAATTGTAGCTGAAATGTTTTGATTTACGTCGAAATTGGGTTCATACACGACAGAGAAACTATTATATTATTTAATAAGAAAGAGTTGATATGATAGCGCTAATGCATTGTGAAAAAAGTTAGATATCACAATGTCAAACAGGGCAACACATAAAGTATAGCACTCCCAGGTACTATGGTTGTCTTTGAATCCTATTTGAGGTTTAGAGGCGGAATTGCCATGAAAAATAGATATTTAACAAATTAATTTTCTGTTATGCAAACATGCATATTCTTTCTCATTGGCCTAACACATCATGTAAGTTATGAATAGATCACGGATGTTTGATGTAACTATTGTATAATTACTCAATAACTAATGTAACATGGACGAAATTTTTGTTTATTCATTTTTTTTATTGACCAAAATAAAAACTGAAATATCTCGGCAGGAAAAAAATCACAAACTCGGAATTAAATATTCACCGGAAAATTCGAACATTCAGGAAAACAGAACTATGCGACTGCATCAGTTCCACTCAGATCTGTAAAAACTTCGCCTTTATCGTCCTTAACTGGATATGACGTTACAACCGAGTGATCCATTTTTTTATAATAGGTTATTGGTGTAAAATCAATAATTAAATAATTGTTAAGTATGTAAGTATTTTCCTTGTTTTCCCGTAGTCAGTATATCACTCGTTAAGTGGAACTAGATAACTTTTCATTCTCTTATTTTGAGCAGGTTTGCTATCTTTGCTCATTTTAAACTATACATGTAATACGTACCTTAACTGGCAGTCGTTCCTCGTTACAATGTAACCGTAGATAAAAACCAATTTCCTATGTGCTGTATTTGATATCGGGGACAATCACAAAATCACAGATGCTATCATTTTTTTCTATTTCTATTTCTTTCTCGCTGTAACTGGAAAATAAAGAATAAATCGACAGAACATCAGAACTTGTATCATAATTTGTATCTCAGCTCAAGTTTCATGCGGTTTTCTTCTTTCTTCGTCATTGATATTTACACAACATTCAGAAGAGGTGATAAACGTCCTCTTTATCCGCGATATCAATTTTATACCAAACCCAACGTGGTTGTATTGTGTCTTCGTTGATTACCGGAAGGCATTTGATAGTATATCTCATAAAAAGTTGTGGTTTAAGTTATGGAGAGCTGGAGTAAGAGGTCGATTATTGGATATTGTTAGATCTATATATGATAATGTTAAGTCTTGTGTCAGGTTGAATGGTAAACTATCTGTTATGTACGACCTCCATGTCGGCTTGTTACAAGGGGAATCTTTGTCCCCGATTTTATTTTCTTTGTTCATTAATGGCATAGAGTCTGAATTAATCAATTCCAATTGTCAAAGCTACAAGTTGCAGCTGATTAACCTGTTCATACTGATGTATGCTGACGATACTGTCCTGTTTTCGGAAGATATAGACAACCTTCAAAAGATGTTAGATTTTCTACATTCTTATTCTGCAAGGTGGAATTTAGATGTTAATTTGGACAAAACGAAAATTGTGGTAATCAGGAAAAGTAAAAATATTTACCCTAATGAACGTTGGAATTACAATGGTTCGCCCATTGAGTTGGTTGATCAATTTTGTTACCTTGGTTTATTTTTTAACTTCAATGGTAAATTTAGTATTGCTTTGGATAACTTTGCTGCGCAAGGTAGAAAAGCTTATTTCCTGTTAAACAGAAGAATGAAAAGATTCATGTTAAATTGTGAAACGAAATTGTCATTAATTGATACCTATATTTCCTGTTTACTTAATTATGCATGTGAAATTTGGGGTTTTAGTCCGGCACCCCAGTTAGAGAAAATACATCTATTGTTCTTAAAAAATGTGTTGGGTGTTAAAAAGAACATGAATTCTTCTATGGTCTACCATGAGCTGGGTCGTTTCCCTTTGTTAATAAATCGTAAAATAGCTGTTATGAAATATTGGCTTAAATTACTGCATACCGATAATTGTGTTTTAAAGTCATGTTATAATGAACTTGTAGAGCTAAATCTAAGAAAACCTGGATTTAAGATGAATTTTATGTACCATGTAAAGCAAGAGCTTAGTAGTTTAGGGTTTCATGATGTTTGGTTGACTCAGTGTATTTCAAATGAAAAGCATTTTTGATGCTATATACTCAACGGTTACATGATGTTTTCATTCAAGAGACAAGAAACAGTTTTGAAAATTCATCCAAGTGTATATTATATAAACATATTGTTGACCGGTTTGAACTGCAGTTTTATCTTCGTAAGTCTTTGACTTTTAAATCTAAAAATATCCTCTCTAAGTTTAGGATTCAGGCACACAGTCTAAACGTTGAGACCGGTAGATACCATGGTATACCCAGAGCTCTAAGGTATTGTATATTATGTGACAAAAGAGAAATGGAGGACGAGATTAATTTTATTTTATTATGTCCAACATACTCAGATTTAAGAGCATTATATAGTAAACCGTATTATTATCGACGTCCATCTGTACATAAATTAACTGAATTGTTGGCAGTTAAAAATGTTAAAACGCTGAGAAACCTCAGTAAATACTTAAGTTGTGCTTTGACAAGAAGAACTTTACTTCTTAATGCTAGAACAAGTTAGTAAATTTGTGTGTTTATAAATGAATGTAGAGGTTTATGTTTTAACTGTGTCTGTTGTGTTCTACGCCATCTTAAATACATGTTTATGATATTGGTTTTAATTTTTTCGACTGATTTGAATTTGAACTGATTTGAATTAAAGTTGCTGCTGCTGCTGCTGATGATGTTGATGATGAAATGACGTCGATGATGATGATAATTGATGTTGTTGTTGATGATAAGTAAGATGATGATGATGATGATGAATTGACATCGATGATGATGATGATGAAATGACGTCGATGATGGTGATAATTGACGCTGTTGTTGATGATGATAATTAAGATGATGATGCATTGACATCGATGATGATGATGATGATGATGATGATGATTAATTGACATCGATGATGATGATGATGATGATGATGATGATGATGATGATGATGATGAATTGACATCGATGATGATGATGATGATGATGATGATGATGTAAGGCATGACTAGTTTTGTAATTTAACTACAAATTATATAACTGTATTATAAATCCGTAAAATTGTCTGTATCCAATAAGTTGATTACAATTTTTTGTATCTCATAAGTTAGAAAACTTGTGAGATCAAATCGAAATTAATTGGGTACAATTGCTACTGTCAGAATACCTGATGAAATTATTTACGTTTTAATTGTGTGTAGTGTTCTCCACCGTCATGTTGCATAAACTGTATTGATATTGTTGTGTACCCTGATTTGTAAATCCTATATGCTGTACTGCATTTGGAAATAAACTGAATTGAATTATGTATTAAACCGTGGCAGTCTGATGAAAATATATTGACGCCAGTCATTCTGGCGTCTACATAAACCACACAAACCATTCAAAAAGGTACATGGATGTCAGCCCCTAGTCTGGTGAGATGAGGACACCTCGGTGCCAACCTGTACAGGAAAATGGGGTTGATGCCATGGGACATCCCTATAGTTCAAGTTAAAAGTACACTATATGTTTTGCAGGCCCTGGAGAGGATCAGCTTATCATGAAGCCTGGACCATATACATATCCCTTCAGCATGCAGCTCCCTGCCCAGTGTGCTACATCATTTGAGGGCCAATACGGACGCGTGCGGTATTATCTTCAAGCTGTCGTGGATAGACCCTGGGCCTTTGATAATGAGCACTTTCATCCTTTTACTGTTATACAGCTTCTAGATCTGAATACACGTCCAGAGTCTACAGTAAGTACAGTTGATATATACTTAGTAAATGGGTTACTTGTATAAATAAAATAATACATCTTAAACTTAAAGTTTAATATCGAAAGAAAAAAACAGTACTGAAAGTTGACCTCGCCATATCATCAATGTCATTGAATGGGATTTCGGCAACTAGTCACCATTTGGTGTATTTCATTATTATTTTATTTCCGAAATTGAATAATTATAATTGCTTAGTTTTCTTCCTGAAAAAAAAACAAATACTATAATAAACTCGAACATTTCATTAAAAAGGATTTTTTTATCTTTCAATTTTACGAAGAAAAAGTTAGGCGATTCTTTTCAAAGTTATGTGTGCCTTTAATTTATAACATGTATAAGGGCATTACAATTCATAGTTTGGTGCGTCCTTGTTTGATATTATACACTGGTACATTTAAACCTACAGTTCAATGTAAAGAGTGGCTGAATTTGTATCATGCACTTGGACATTTAAACTTAGTATTCAATGTTTAGTATGTCATTCTTTGGTAACAAGTAATGTGTGAATTAAAATTGGTATCAATGGAAAGAGATTATCTCTGCTGTGGATATCTTCTTATTGAATGTAGATGTCTTATATTTGCTCGAAATGATGTATCTGTAGGTCCGCTGTATACTGCATGCCTTCAGTGGCGATATTTGCATTGATTCACACATCAATCAACATTTGGATAATATTATACGATCCTAGTTCTCGACAGTATTGGGTTTTAGTGGTTTTTGGAATACATTTTATCTATTGAATAAAAAACAATTACAGTACTTCTAATCAGCATACCTGTAGCGATTCCGTTCTTGTTTTAGTTTCTAACTTCTACGAAAAAAACATCCCCCATCCGAGGATAAATACATCAAATCAAAATGTATAATAATGAAACACATATATGTATAAATCATCGTTTATGATCGCGAAAATTCAAAAACTTCATAATACATTTTGAAATTTACCTTTTGACCATCGAGATCATTATTCAATTATTAATTAAACTTACATCTGCGTTGTCTACAGACTTTGATTCTATCTAAATTTCATTCAGAACACGGTAACAAATCAGGGGTCAAAGACACTATGTTGTTTGTGCTGCGAGTCAGGGCCAATTACAGCAAACTTATACCTGAATCGGATAGGATTTGTCCCCGGCGAAAAGATTATTGTTCAAGGAGAAGTCACTAATCACAGTCGCAGGGCGATGAAAAATCACCAGATCAATCTTCTCATGGTAGGTACCCAGATAATTATCTTCACATAAATCTCCTCGACCTGGGTAACCAGGTCAATATCATCAGGACACAAGCGGAGATCAATCTCCTCTTGGAAGCTCAACGGATCAACATCCTCATGTTAGGCAACAATATCAATCTCATGGTAGATACCAGAACTTCGTGACAGGTCACAAGATAAACATCCTTCTGGTAGATGACCAGATGAATCTCCTCGTACTAGATCTCCAGATCAGTCTCCTCAAGGTAGGTCACCAGATCAGTCTCCTCAAGGTAGGTCACCAGATCTGTCTCCTCAAGGTAGGTCACCAGATCAGTCTCCCTCAAGGTAGGTCACCAGATCAGTCTCCTCAAGGTAGGTCACCAGATCAGTCTCCTCAAGGTAGGTCACCAGATCAGTCTCCTCAAGGTAGGTCATCAGATCAGTCTCCTCAAGGTAGGTCACCAGATCAGTCTCCTCAAGGTAGGTCACCAGATCAGTCTCCTCAATGTCGGTCACCAGATCAGTCTCCTCAAGGTAGGTCACCAGATCAGTCTCCTCAAGGTAGGTCACCAGATCTGTCTCCTCAAGGTAGGTCACCAGATCAGTCTCCTCAAGGTAGGTCACCAGATCAGTCTCCTCAAGGTAGGTCATCAGATCAGTCTCCTCAAGGTAGGTCACCAGATCTGTCTCCTCAAGGTAGGTCACCAGATCAGTCTCCTCAAGGTAGGTCACCAGATCAGTCTCCTCAAGGTCGGTCACCAGATCTGTCTCCTCAAGGTAGGTCACCAGATCAGTCTCCTCAAGGTAGGTCACCAGATCTGTCTCCTCAAGGTAGGTCACCAGATCTGTCTCCTCAAGGTAGGTCACCAGATCTGTCTCCTCAAGGTAGGTCACCAGATCAGTCTCCTCAAGGTAGGTCACCAGATCTGTCTCCTCAAGGTAGGTCACCAGACCAGTCTCCTCAAGGTAGGTCACCAGACCAGTCTCCGCCCAATGGATCATAAAATCAATCTTTTAATGGTATATCCCGAGATCAATCCTGATGTTTAGTTACCAGATCAATTTCTTAGTGGTAGATCCCAAATCAATCCCCCTATAGCATGTCCCGAAACTAGCCTCCTTATGGTAGGTTCCCACATCAGTCTCCATACGGTAGGCCACCAGACCACTCTCCACTTCATGGTAGGCCACCAGATCACTCTCCACTTCATTGTAGGTAGGTCACCAGATCTGTCTCCTCTCCACTTCATGGTAGGATCAATCTCCACTTCATGGTAGGCCATCAGATCAGTCTCCACTTCATGGTAGGTCAATCTCCACTTCATGGTAGCCAACAGTCTCTCCACTTCATGGTAGGCCATCAATGGATCATAAAATCAATCTTTTAATGGTATATCCATCAGATCAGTCCTTCATGGTAGGCCAACAGATGTTCATGGTAGGCCAACAGATAGTTACCAGATCAATCTCCACTTCATGGTAGTGGTAGGCCATCAATCTCCACTTCATGGTAGGCCAACAGATCAATCTCCACTTCATAGCATGTCTCCACTTCATGGTAGGCCAACTAGATCAATCTCCACTTCATGGTAGGTTCCCACTTCATGGTAGGCCAACAGATCAGTCTCCACTTCATGGTAGGCCACCAGACCACTCTCCACTTCATGGTAGGCCACCAGATCACTCTCCACTTCATTGTAGGCCATCAGATTAGTCTCCACTGCATCGTAGTCCAACAGATCACTCTCCACTTCATGGTAGCCCAACAGATCAATCTCCACTTCATGGTAGGCCATCAGATCAGTCTCCACTTCATGGTAGGCCAACAGATCAATCTCCACTTCATGGTAGCCCAACAGATCAATCTCCACTTCATGGTAGGCCATCAGATCAGTCTCCACTTCATGGTAGGCCAACAGATCAATCTCCACTTCATGGTAGGCCAACAGATCTGTCTCCACTTCATGGTAGGCCAACAGATCAATCTCCACTTCATGGTAGGCCAACAGATCAATCTCCACTTCATGGTAGGCCATCAGATCAGTCTCCACTTCATGGTAGGCCAACAGATCAATCTCCACTTCATGGTAGGCCAACAGATCAATCTCCACTTCATGGTAGGCCAACAGATCAATCTCCACTTCATGGTAGGCCAACAGATCAATCTCCACTTCATGGTAGGCCAACAGATCAATCTCCACTTCATGGTAGGCCAACAGATCAATCTCCACTTCATGGTAGGCCAACAGATCTATCTCCACTTCATGGTAGGCCAACAGATCAATCTCCACTTCATGGTAGGCCAACAGATCAATCTCCACTTCATGGTAGGCCAACAGATCAATCTCCACTTCATGGTAGGCCAACAGATCAGTCTCCACTTCATGGTAGGCCAACAGATCAGTCTCCACTTCATGGTAGGCCATCAGATCAGTCTCCACTTCATGGTAGGCCAACAGATCAATCTCCACTTCATGGTAGGCCAACAGATCAATCTCCACTTCATGGTAGGCCAACAGATCAATCTCCACTTCATGGTAGGCCAACAGATCTATCTCCACTTCATGGTAGGCCATCAGATCAGTCTCCACTTCATGGTAGCCCAACAGATCAGTCTCCACTTCATGGTAGGCCATCAGATCAGTCTCCACTTCATGGTAGGCCAACAGATCAATCTCCACTTCATGGTAGGCCATCAGATCTATCTCCACTTCATGGTAGCCCAACAGATCAATCTCCGCTTCATGGTAGGCCAACAGATCTATCTCCACTTCATGGTAGGCCAACAGATCAATCTCCACTTGATAGTAGCTCAGTATCCTTGTTACCTTACTTTTAATGTTGACTGCATATATTATATTAAATAAGTGTATTGCCATACTTTCTTTATCATTAACTTTTGCAGAACGTGAATTATCATGCAAGGTCAAAATCACGAACCGTTCAAACTGAGGTAGCAGAGCTACGAAAGCTTGAGATTCCAGCAGGCGAATCAGACCACTGGAATGGAGAAGGATTAGTGGTGCCCCCACTACCTGCTTCTGGTCTTCCTGGATGTAGAATTATAAGCATTGATTATACAGTTGAGGTTTGTATGAAATGTTGAATCTTTACATATTTATTGTTTTTATGGTTTAATAGTATACAACATTCTCCTAACACCAACATTGTTACGGGTTCAAACCGAAGTCACCATAATGTTTTATTGGCCTAGATTTTAACATAGGAGTGTGCATATGATTTCTTTGGATTTTAGTAACATTGAACATTGTCAAAAAATATAGATGAATGGACTAGTATAACATCAACAAGGAAGTTTATAAGCAGTTTACAACACCTATGTTTGGTTGGAACCTGCTACATGGAAATATAGCCTCAGAGAAAAGAAGTTGCAGATTCGCTAATGGAATCAGGCAGACTAGGACACCTTATACGTATAGGAATCAATTCGTTTATGAGCAATATAACATCATTCATTCTATTTATATACTGAAGCTTTATTCTCAAATTTGATAAATTGTACGCATGTCGACTATGAGTTATTTATCTAAATCTTTATAATACTATTACAGCTGCAGGTTGTACCTACCGGCATCGCATTTGATTTGAGTGTTCCTGTTGGTGTTCTGATCGGCAGCATTCCCTTACGGTCAGTTGTCCAACAGTATGGCGTGCCGATGAATAAACCTCCGCCTCCTGCACCACCCTCAGTCAACCCTTTGGCTCCTCCTCCGTCCTACGGTGATATCTATAACAACGACCCAGCCTACCCGCCGCCCCCACAAGCTCTTATGCCAGATGACATACGTAAGTACATTTAGAAGTGAAGTTATTGGAGGTACTGGATTTATATTTCTCAAGTGTTTTCACAAAAACCAATCTGATATTTGAGGATACACGAAATTCATCAAAAATAATTATCCTTCCTCGGCTGTCTTTTACAGGCAGAACCATTTATACCAAGTATTCATGCAAACAATGAAATGTAACAAAACACTAAATACATATCGGCGTGGCGTCATTGATAAACTCAAGTCAACAAAAATGTTCCGGCAATGTTTAATATTTATATCTTAGATATAAAAGCAAACCAGTATAATATAATGCTTCACTTCTCTTTTTCTCTACAAAAGGTAAAATCTTTTATTGTAGAAAAACTGATTCTTACTTTTCCGGTTAATGGTTAATGACATTTATTCTTTATTTTAGGAGCGATCTTTATGCCATCAAATGCCTTGTTTCATTAAAATGTTTAAGAACAATACTGGAATGACAAGGGAAAATTAGAAAATGCTAAAATTCCATTGTACTTTATACTTAAGAACCAAACTTCATTATTTTTCATCGGATCCTGAAAATGTGATCCAGCCTATTTTGTTGAAATTTAGCATCGAAGAATTACCTCAGCAACGGATATACATTGAAATTGTTGCTGCTATTAAGCAATAATGACATCCATTTTAACTCATGAGTTCAATATAGATAACAAAATATATGGAAATACAGAGATCTCGGATATCGCGTTGGAATTCGTTTTATATCAAATTATGACTATTTCAATTCTGACTATAAATGTGCCTGGTCCTCTTCTTAGACAAAACACGAGAAATAATTTTTACAAAGCTCATTTTCAGTTAAAATTTTATGCGGCCAAAAGTGTGAGAACTGTTAAAGGAATTAAATGTGTCATTTTCAGCCCCACCCTCTTACGGCCGGAGTGCGCTTGGTGCTATGTCAGGAGGATATAGTGAGGGAAAAGAAGGCGATGACGGTGGAAATGTTGCCTCTAATGCTGTGGAACCTTCAAATCAGCCATCCAACCAATCCTGGGCTCCAGTGTACCCTTACTATGATTGGAATCGCCCCGATACTAATTTCGCCGTCCGAGAAAAAGAGCAAAAGGCAAAATGACCTCATTGTATGAGGAATTCACTGTTCACTGTCTGTATACACGAGTGTTATTTTCATACTGTTTACAATCGTGTTTCCGCCAAATGTGCTTCAATCAACTTACTTTTTAAACATTTCCATGCATCGAAGGCACTTTTGCAAACTTTAGTAATGAAATAACACACATTATCTCGGATTCACCCGTCATGCTCATATCAAACCACATAATACCAATATTAATTTGTTTTTCATTCTTTTAAAATAATAGTTAAGGTAGGATAACTAACATATTATTGCAAACATATATTTTAGAAGCATAAAGTGTATTTGAATAAAAATATGTTTTACTAACCAATGCTAGATAACATCTTATCGAGAGCATAATATATATATGTTCGTTGACAGAACCGTGTACCTTAGGGATAACAATTTCTGTAAAGAGTTATAAACATGTCTTCCAGAATGATGTTGTGTAAAAGGTTCCAATATACCACAAGGACTTGACACGAATTTCCATCCTTAGATATCTGACATATACTGATACTACCAAACATGTAATGTTAAATGGACCGAGGGTTTGGAGTGTGAAGTTCCTGTGCAATATTCACAAATGTATAGATTTTATTCTGACACGGTATGACTTTACAATCCCTAAACAATCAGTTCTTCAATATAAAAATTACTTTAAAATCCTTTTTTCTTTAAAATAATATTTCGTGGTTAATATATCCATTATATCTGTTTGTGATATAGGCCCAAAATATTGTCATTGATAATCGTTATATCATTATTTATTTTCTTAATATTGTGCTTCATATTTAATATCAGCTGTTTTAAATTTCAAAATCAGTTATTTATATTCGACACATCATATCACAATATTTAAATAAAAAAAGTTTTACAATATAAGATTTATTAATATAAAACATAACATCCTGAACATAAATCAGGAGATGTTCGAATATAGCAACGTTTTGAATACCTGACAGAACTGATTTGTGTGTTTTATCTATATAGGAATCAACAGATATAAATGCAAGCCATTAAATTTGTAACAGAATCGTGTATGCTTGCTCTATCCATTATTTATATTTTGCAATCCCACATTTTTGCCTCATCCACGTGTTGCTATATTCCACTGAAATGGAAAAGGGTTTTTTTTATCAGTTTTAGTAAGTCTTAACCTTACAACCCCTTACAAAAACCTTGATAATAGACTTCCCGATTGCTTAACCATTAGGTAAAGAAAGGTTCGAAAAAAGTGTGTATATATATCATTTCTGTTCTATTTTGTGCCAAGTACGATATAATGATGTTTGATTTTAGTTTATAAGATATTGTTTATACTAACAAGTGCAAACATGGTTCTATATCATAATACTTTTTTCAGTTTTGCAATAAAGATACGTTTACTTATATATGTTTATTTTCTATCGTTAAATATCCATCTCAATCTATGTCCATATCGTTCTAATTTGTCTGAACTACGATAATCCTCGTATTTTTATAATAAATTCATTGTTTATTAAGAAATATCTGTATGGTTTGTATTCTTTGTGTTAACTCGTAAAAAATCTATCGTGGTATTTTTTATGGTAAAAAGGCTGTACATGGCTATTTTTATCACCAAGAAATATATAGATGATATTTGATAGTGTCTTCAGTAACAACAAATATATTGCAAAAGTATATCTAATAGTTTAGTATCTTTAACGAGTACGTATCACGAGTGATAGATACAAAAAAATATTGGAGACTCTGGAGACGCTATTAACAATTCTATTTATTACATTTTCACAAGCACAAGCAGAATTACTGTCATATTTAGAACAGATAGAGAAGAGAAAACTGACTCATTATTACTTCGTAGTATGCGACAAAATACAGTCAGTTTTTAAAAAAACCGTCAAAACATGTTAACAAAAATACATTTTAACGTAAATTTCCTTTTTTATTAGGATAGAAATTTTTACTTATTCATGTCACTATCAGACAAAACGTTCAGAAAGTTAAACTTTTTGAGAAGTTACTACGCAGTTGTCGCTGTTGATGACACGAATACTTTGCACTGGGATTTTTCAATTTTATAGGATGATTTGAGTTCTTTCTTTTCATCGGTGTAAGTCCGCAAAAATGTTGGTTTTCACTAGTGAAAAATAGCACTTGTCAGTGAGATATTTCTCAATATTTCACTGGCAAAAATGAAATAAATATGATATACGTGTATCTCCGGCTATTCTTTAGTTCTCCAAAGTTATCACTCCTCGAACCTCTACCTTTAGTAATTATCTTATATCAGGATTTCCACTCTAATCAAGACAACACGCGTTGCCATTGAACATTGACAATCGTTGGTGAAACAAAGCCTCGCAACGGAGGCGAAAACCGTGTAACCAACCAATCAGGTGTCGTTTCACGACGCCGCCAGACCAAAGACGTTCTTTGGCGCGACAACGCCTAGCGATAGGACGAGTCACAGAAATGAAAAACGTGTAACTAAGAAATAAAGATCAAAAGTCAATCATTAGTTGGTCATTAACGAAATACAATTTGGGCCAGTTTTATATTCAAGAAGGCCGCCTTTGTGTCAGTTGGTTATTGCTACTTCTTCACTGAAAGTGTTATGTTACGTGTAAGATGCACTACCTCTGCTGAATTTAGGAGTTTCATCACAGTTTGTTACGCCCGAGAGCACATCTTGTCGCTAATACTATCATTTGGACCACTGTGCATTCAAGATGGCAGAGTGGCCTTAGTTTTGCAAATCTTTATGTTTGAATTGGAAGTAAGCATTATAACTAAAGGAATATTTCCGTCACTTGTGGGATGACATGCTCAATAAAATGTATATCAAAACTTTGCTGAAATCAAGATGAGCGCCATTTCTACTATCACCATATCCAATCGTCACATCAGGGTCTACAAAATGTATATACAGGGGTGTACAAATCGGAACGTGTAAAAACGAAGCCAGGTAAGAAACGGACGTCATATCGTTCCAAATATGGTCATTTTGTACTTTTCTGATAATGCTTGGTCCGCAGTGATATTTCGGGTATCTTTTCAGTCCATGATTGAGGTTGAAGTCTGTATGGTTAAACCAAAATGCTCAATAAAAATTGGAAATCGGAACAAAATTTCCTATTTGACTTGAAAACTCGCTTTCCTCTCATTTCTAAGAAATGCATCACTACAATCCAAAGTTGAATAGGACGACTTTTGCATATATAACACACCTGAATATGAATTTTGATTTCTTCGGCTGTAGAATTTCAGAACAATGATTATTTATCCTCGATATTTCATGTGGACACAGAGGTTTCCAAAAGTGTGTCTATACACAACCGACATTTTACATTTTCTGTCCAACATTGTCAGTTAGAGCTATTTTTGTATTGTAAATAACTTTGCTTAAGCCAGTAATATTCGAAATATATGTATAGGAATGAAGATAACATTATCCAAATTTATCTATACTGATCCAATTAGGAGACCTCGGACAGAACATTAGTATAAATTAACTTGGATAAGGTCATCTTCCTGCTTATACATACATTCCGAATTTTATATGCTAAAACGAAGTTATTTGCATATTTATTATTGTTTTCAAAAACCATCGCGTGACGTTAAATCCAAGTTCGTTAGGGTTTACGGAACTAAAGAAGTGGTCAAGCTGGACATCGGAAGTTGACTGTGAATATCTGGATAGCATATAAACGTTACTGGAAGAGTATAAAACAGGCATATTGAGTAACTAAATTACAATATAACAATGTATATTAAATCGTGATACCCCTGTAAGTCGTCTATGAAGAAAAGCACGGTGATTTAGAAACGATCAGTGTAAAAATACAATAGCAAAAGTATTTATATAGAGAGTTTTATCATCCTCGGGCGTTGTTGCTAATTCGCTGGATGGTTTTAAGATCATGTACAGCTGACAGTTTGCGTTGGTATCCTTTTCGAAATTATATTTTCAGTGTCTCATGGCATGACTTGTCTGATTTAATACAATCTTGGAATTGGTGTTGTTAGCGTTTTTATGTCGGTACCTGACTGATAAACTCACAACACATGATTTCGTATATGAGGAAGTTTTACGGTCGTCATAATGATTTTAATAGGAAATATTGTAATTCCTTGTGTTTTTAACAAGGTGCACCTCATCGTTATTGTTGTATACCTTGTTCTCATTTGAGGACGTAAATTGCATCGGATTTACTTTAACCAAACAAGAAACAATTAAGACGGCCTTCCGGAAACTTTTCCCTGAAATATAAAATAATGAAAGCCATAGAGCGTACTAACTGGTATTACCCAAGGATCTGGAATCGAACCCCGTATCACCCTCACCACCGGCACATTTCTTGTACAATATTTTATAATTTTTATGCTAGGAAAACAATTTCAATCCATTTAAAAATATTGAAAAAAAAATTTATATGACCCTATCAAATCTTCGACGGTGATAATTTAAACCAGGGACGTATAATACAGAATCTGTATTATACGTCCCTGTTTAAACCGAGTCGCACGTGCATCTATATAATGACATAACTGTTAGGTATAACCATGCAGTTTGTCTGCGTTGTGATTTTATCTCTCTTATTTAAATCGTTTGTTTTCATCACTAAACAGAGACCGCTGCAATTTACATATACTATATTAGTATTAGCTCTAGTTTCTAAACCTACCATAAAGTCGCGATATTGGTATACTTAAAATGTTTGTAATACTAAAGTCCTTGATCACCATGCATCCTCTGAGTTCAGATTACGTGTACCCAAATATAAGTTCGTGTTAATATCGACGACACGTTTGGTACAAGCACAGTAACACGTAGCCTACCGCTATTTATAGAATTCAGGAAATCCCTACAAGTGGGAGACCTTGGAGATGATATTTGAATAGTACTATCATATGAGTATGTGTTTATTAATACCTATCTAGTTCTGTAATTAGACATATCTAATCATACCCTATTCCTGTGTACACTCAATATCGCTCACGGTTCGTTCATGTGTACGTATCTATCCACACCCCAGGGGTCAAGGTCAACCTGACGTAACAATTCATTCACCGAATGGTCGAGATACACGTGATTATTGCACATTGGACTTCAGACTCATAGGTGCCAACGCAGTTTGTAAAACAGGTAAGGGGTAGGATATAAAAGCAGATTTCACCTTACGAAGAGCAATATTCCTATTGGGAGGCAGGAAACAGCGAGGTAAGGTTTCATATAACTAGTGTATTCATGTAAATTGTAATGTACATTGTTTCACTCACCAGCTGACAGACGTTTTGTTGTCGACCAGGAAAATGTTTGCGGAAGTAATAGAAAAGGCAGGCTCAGACAGGGACACATTCTGGTTACAGACAAAATGCGATTATTCTTTAGAAATCAACATGTTACCCCATTATTGCTTGAAGGCTAAAATAAGGACATATTTATATACGTTGTACAGCAGAGATGTGCTTATTCATATATCCATAGGGGGAATCTAACATGGTAAAGGTGGTTAAATTGGGCAGGTTAGATCGACATTGATTTTGATAATGTCTCCACTAAATGACTAAATGCCTCATTTTCGTCAATAATAGTCTGAAGGGTTTTGACTACCTTTCCGAGATATAACTTATATATTGGTTGATATTGACAGCGAGCGAGACAAAGATAAAATGACAGATAGATAGTCAATTCTTACAAAGTGAAGCGTCTGATAATAAATAGTTAAAGTCTAATAACATATTAACTCAGAATTTTCAGTTCAAAGGGAAATTTCAAGTAAACATATATATATATATATAAAGTTTTGTGAACTTCTGTGTTGATTTTTATTACTAATTATATGTAAAATGTATGTATAAAACCAGAAAGCCCTGGGTTGGTATGTATGTCTGTCTAGTTTCCCATCGTTTGACTGCTATATTTTAGTTTAATACAGCCGTATGTACTTGTATGACAATAATTGCCTGCATAATCAGAGACTCAAAAGTTCCGTCCAGTTAGTTGATAGGAACTTTAGAGCTTCTGGTCATGTTCTGTATCAGCAGACTAGGGATGTTAATTCTGTCTTTTTTGAAATGCTGAGTTATCTGCTCTTGTTAGGTGTCAATTGTTACATATTCATCTTGAGAAAACAACATAATTTTCTGACACAAACAAAAGACAGAACTATCAATATCTTCTCAAAGAGAAAATAACTATATTACGAAATGATGGATTACTGAAGCCAGCCATTATGGGATAATGGTTAGCTTAAGTGTCCATGATCATGAGCCAGTTCAGGAGATTTATAGAGAAACAGTTTATGTATCCATGGATCTCTGTCTGTTGTTGGGAACATAATGTACATTGCATTGTATACAACTGAAGTAAATCTCCAAATATACCATAATCTGTACCAATTCATTCATTTTCTTATATGAATGACTGCTGTAGAGTGTAAACTAAGTTCATGGGATTTAGACTATATACAGGTACACTAAACCATGCAGATACAGGTGATGGAGTTATTTCCATATATTTTAGGTAATGGACAGTTTCCATGGCTACCTGTTATTTTTGTAGTATACTGTATTTATCAATGATCAGATCTATGAAGAATGAAGTAGTAATTAAAGCAGCTAATTAGTTGTGTATGGTTCCTATTCCATTTTTATGGTAACACAGTATCAGACAACCAATTTTAGAGTTCTACATAATTATATTGTTCTTCAATAATGTTTTTAGTTCCTGTCAGTCTCATGAATCTTGATTTATAATATTGCAGATCAATAGAGGAGTTTATGTATAGAAAAAGCATGATGCAAGACCAAGAGAAGATGTCACAAGAGGATTTCTTTACCCGCTTAGGAAACATTCCTGTCGTGGGAACTACCTGGACGCAGGCCTGGGGTCTGTACCAGAAAACTAAGGAGAGCAACACCATTATCCGCTCCACACTCAATATGGCTGAGTCTGGCATCAAAACTGTCACAGAAACCACTAAACCCATGGTGGAGAAATACCAGCCTCAGAGTAAGTATAGAAAATGGTTTAATGTAAGGTCTCTACCAACTGATAAATGGACAAAATTGATTCATTTTGTCAGACTATGATTAATAGTCACTACATTTTGTCCCAAAGTACCCAGATAGGTGTAATGTAATGTACATGTACTACATTGTCCAGATATGTACTATTGTAATGTATTAAATATGCTGTATGTCTCCAAAAAACTAATAAAAGTATGTTGATAATAGGTCCCTATTTGTTTCTGTGGTACAACTTGACTAGTTATTTATAAATTGCTTGTTGAATTTTCAGTTGAGATTGTAAACAAATATGCCTGCCAGCAGCTTGATAATCTGGAGAATAAATACCCTGTCATCAAAAAACCTACTGAAGAGGTAAGCTTTCTTCTAGAGCTCTACATCAGCGGTTCCCCTTACCTCTCACTTTAAGCTAGTTATAATGAATCAAGACATGTATTAGGAAATGAGTTCTAACCTACTATGTACTGTGCTATAAATAGAGAAAATGCAAATTTTTTTTACCTGCATTTATTTTTGGTATTTATTCATTTTTTAGCAATTCACTTATGACCACTGATATTGACAAGTTTCAAAACACGGAGGAAAAAACAGGAATAAAAAAATACAACTATCAATAGTAGCCCTCTGATTTTGTGTGATGTTTTTCAGTGTGCTTGTATGCAGATCATTATCTGCCAAATGCGCCTGATGGTGATGTTTTCTTAGTTTGACCTCTAGATGTCAGAGCAGAGGTCAGGGTGTTAGCATGTGTCTATAATCACAAAGGATGATCATTACATCCTCATGATTTATAGCACGGTACGTACAAGTAGAGACATACGTGATGCACACTGAAGGTCACAACACTTCACAACTGATAAACAGTCTAGTTTTTTAATATAGGCATGTTATACACATTTCATAAGAAAATTGTCTGTAGCAGATATATGGTGTAAAGCTTTGATTTTGTCTTATCAGACTTGTCAAGGTTGTCTGGTTGGACTGAATTTCAATGTAATCATAAACATATTTGGGTCCTATAGTAAGGTTACAAATGTGTCAAGATATTCTTAGCACTAAATCATGAATCCTGGCAATTCTTGTATCAGTGATCAGGGAGCTAATGTAACATAACTTTTGTTTAACTTAACAATCCATAATTTTCATGTAAATCAATATTCTTTATTTAATAAGACATACAATTCATGTTAACCAGTTTCCTAAATCTAGATTTTAATTACATATTTCAATAAGGTATATAGATCAAAGTTCTGATTGAAATTGGCATTGATACATGCTTTGCAGATGATCTTGAACATGTACATGGTCCAATGTTAGTTTGTCAGCACGTCAGAAACATAAATTTTAAACGGATTTTGATTACAAACTTCACATGAAGATTAAGAATTGAAGCAAAATAAAAGAAAATTACATTTTCAGATTGTTAGGATCAAGGTCACTGTTTAAACATTTAAGTATAAGCATTGAAATAATTTTAACAGGTAACTGAAGCCAACATTACACAGAAGTGCCTCTGTCTTTGTAGTTTGTAGCCTCATTTTGTAATTATTATTGTTATCTACCTGTAATTTACATTTACGTAAAGATAAGGTTGAATTGTAAGTTGCTAGCTAGGGTCATGGTCTCTGTTACTTTGAAACAATATCTGGACTCCTTTTTGTCTTCTAATTAGGATAGGTAGAGTGGATATCATAAATGTTCGTAGATCGAAACAGAAGAGGAAGAAAGTAATTAGATATTGTTATTATTAAAAGAGAAAAGTCTTATATTTTGGCAAGGGATACAACCATAGTTTAAATAACATAGGGAGAACTTCTCTGAAATTTCCTGAACTAATTTTCTGCTTTTCTTTACAGTTGGTGGCTGATGGTAAAGAGCTAATTCAACCGACCCTTGACCGTGTCAATGCTGTGCGCCAGTATGGCACAGACACCATCAACAAGGCAAGTCTTGCTGGTGCAGCCAGTCAGTCATTATTTTAATGCCCAATACATCTGACTTGACAGTTTTTATAAAATAAAAATCACTACTTCACATTATTTATAGAAACTACATGTCATCGTGTAGCATACCATTTAAGACATGTATCATTTAAAACATGATTAAAAGAGATGTATTACCGCTGACAAAGTTCAGATAAGACTTTTTTCCCCCAAATTAGGTTATGTAGATCTATTAGTTTTAAAACTCAGTTCAACAATTTTGAGACATAAAATATACAATCTGTCTATTATTTTGTAATAGAATTATTATATTTACCTTATATACATGATTTACAGGTGGGAGATGTGAAACAGATGGGAGTTGATACAGTGTCTAATGTGAAGGACTATGGTCTGATGCAAGTGTCCAAAGCAATGGACACTTCTTACGGTTGCTTCGTGGCTGACAAGGTCAATACCGCTTTGACCTTGTCTGAGGAATACCTTGAAAAGTATCTTCCAGAGGATGACGACGAAAAAGATGAGAATGGTAAGGCGTTTAATTTTGGTTAACATGTCTGGTTTGAAGTCAGTGCAGACTTACAGAGAAAGGTGTTAAGATTCCCATTTCTCACTCATATCACTTGAAAGATAAAATTGATATAATGTAGTATCAGATGACCCTCCAAGGTGTGTCGGTCCATCTCTTTCTGGGACATTTTGTGGAGAGTCAGTTACATCATGGAGTGTCTGGTGCTGTGATGGTTGTGTCCATTTGCACGACATTTTACCCAAGTCAGTCAGATTTTTGTATCTGATAATATACTTTAGGTATTTTTAATTCTGAACTCATTCTATAGGAATCCATACATTGCATGCTTCCAAATACTTTGAAAACTAAGGAAAATGGACATTAGACCTTGCAGTCTTTTTAATTGAATTTTGTTGTTTTCACTTCAGATCCTGATGAGGCAAAGGAAATGGATGAGTACCCCCCAAGTACTGTTGGACGTGCTAAAGATTTGACAACTAAATTGAGACGCAGGATGTACAAACGAGCTCTGAAGGATCTGAGGAATGTTCAGGTTCGAAGCCAGGAAAATCTAGCCAAGCTTAGCTTCACAGTCGACCTTGTAAGTAATATTAAAAACTTCAGTCAATATGGTGTGTTAGGATCAGTATTTAGATGAAATGCATGTTTTGTTAGAATAGAATGGAGTCCAGTACAAGTAATTCCTGTTGCAAATTAATACATTTTGAATTATACTTTAAGTGGTACTGGAAAAATAGGTAATATCTTGTTTTTATTGTTTTCAGATTGATTATGCTAAAACTAATATGCAGTCTGCAAAAGGTGTAGCAGAGGAGAAGGTTGGTGAACTACAGACCAAGATGACTACATTGTGGACAGAGATCAACAAAGAGGACTCCGAGTTAGAGGAGGGAGAACTTGTACCCAATGTATGTACAGGACTGTATGCTCTGTTGGTCAATCTTTACAGTAAAAATTACTGATGTTCTGTTTTCAACAAAATGCAAGGAAACATATCTTCTTGTTTGGTGTGAAGTAACAAGTAGGAAAGAGACATCAAGAAATTATGTTCTACTATGTTTTGATATCTTAGGTATTAAAATGATTTGTTTACAATTTTTCATTCTTGTTTGTAGACAATGGAGACCAAATCCATTATCATGGCTCGCCATCTCACTAAACAACTCCGCTCCGGCCTTTCCACATTCAATACCTATGTTCCTGAATCCCTTCAACCTGCCGCTCTCCGTGAACGCCTCCAACAGACCTACAAGTACACTGAAGAGCTCTACTCATACTTTCGAGATGTAAGTTGATAACTTTGCATTCTGACAATTAATGAAAGAAAATTCAATGGCACTGCTTTCATACTAGTTGGTGTTCATTTTAAGATATTAAAACTGTTTAAGTAGTGATTGTTGGCAGTATTTTCCTATGATAAACACATTTTATAACAAAGTGTTTGGTAAAATTTAAACAAAGTAACATCAATTATAAACATTAACACTCTAAATGATGGTAATGATTTGAAAATGATACAAATTAATTTTTCATTTAATTGTCACAAAGGTTCATATTTCGACAAGGTGGATATTTATACAATGTGGACATTTATAAAAGGTTTATATATTTATACAAAGTTTATATTTATACAAAGTTTATATTTATACAAAGTTTATATTTATACAAAGTTTATATTTATACAAAGTTTATATTTAGACAAGGTTGATATTTATACAAGGTTTCACCTAAGATATCATCTAAGAGATAAAGTAATGCAACAAGTCATTCTGAGGCCAAATATTTGTACTGATATCCAAATTATCCACAGGTTGCAAAATATGAAGATATGCCCAGTCTAGCACTAGCCCAGGCCAAGGACAAGCTGGGCTATCTGCAGTCAACCCTTGGCTACCTGACTGAAACCTTTGTCACCGTCCCACTGACTTGGCTGGTGAGTATATAAACCTATCTTAATGAAGTACAAATCTTCACTAGTATTCAGTGTAAAGTGAAGATCTGTATGTTTATCAGATTACATATAGACAGCATGTTTGATGTTGTTTCTGCTTGTGTGGTGCATGTCCATTTAGTTTACCTCCTTAAACTTTCATTTAGCTCCTTAAACTTCCAACAGTTATAAAATTACATGAGTCACTTTATTGTCAGTGAGAGTATGGAGTAATAATCACTTGTTCTTCTACTATCCTTCCTTGGAGAGAAATTTCATCATGAGAAAAGAGTAAAAACTTCCAGCACTACATGTAGAAACTAATGATGATAATTGTATTCACTTGACCGAGCAAACATAGAATTTTCCCCTGACAAAATAAAGTCTTCCATGCAGCCCTTCACTTACACTGATAGCTAATGCCAATGGTTAACCAAAGTACATTTAATGAACATTCATTACACTAACACATTATCTTCATATATCAATGAATAACATCTTATATACTGTTAAATTATCCTCATGAATAATGCTGAAGAGTTAACCATGTTTAATGAAAAAAAAAACCAAAAAACACACTAACAAATGATCTCCAACCATGTGTGTCATGATCCTTAAGTATTAGTATATTTCAAATCCAGTATGCTAGAATTTGCTTGAAAATAATGATCCGGTGAAACAAAAGTACGTTATTTGTCCAATATGGAAAATAAATGTTTCCATGCAATGAGATTTGTATGATTTTTTCTTGATATAAAGAATGAGAAAATTGCCAATTTCCTTCAAGTAATTTAATTGAAATGTTTTGTTCAACTATGAACACAGATTAGATATTACTGTCCAAAAAGTTATATGAGATAAAAGAAAATGACAATTCAAACATTGATATCAATAAATTATGATAGAAATGCTATATTTAGACCTTGTTTCTTTTTATCAGGTGTTACGACCAAAAGATGAGAAAGCCAAGAAAATACAATGATGCATTACACAAACAAAATGTGAAATAAGTCTTCCATAGTGTATTATAAGTACCTCAAAGGAAGTTAGAACAAAAACTGATGGAAATTGATCTGATAAGAGTTGGAGTAATTACACAAAAGAACAAAATAAATCTTGTCTGATAACGGGACAGAAAACCCATAATCAGAAAAATTGGACTGACTCAAAATTTCAATTTTGCTTTCATTTGGTGAGATACAGAAAAACCCATTGCAAACAGAGGACAAAAAATAGTCATCTACTGCATGAGTAGAAGCATGTTTAAAAATGACCCTAGTGGATAAAGACATTTCTCTCATTTTGTAAGAAAAGACAATCATGTGAATAGCAGTGCTTTACCATATTATAATACAGATGTGTATTTTCAATAAGTTGTTTAAATCCGGGCGTGTAGTCATTACAACCCCAAATTCCTTTTTTCACTTTGATCTGTGATACATGTAGATTTCATTCCTTTGTTGGTTTATTTCAATAAAGTTATTCGTTCCTGCATGGCATTTGTAGTGTGTATTTTGTAGTAACACGTCAGCTATATGACATTGAATTTGAAATGCACTTCCTGACTGAACACAGTATATGAAGTTACTATTTGAGATAATTTATTGAATATAATTTTGTCACTTAAATATACCTGGCCCCACTTGTATAAAACATCTCAACTTGAGATTTCCTCAAGCCAAGATTTTCCTCAGCTAATATCTCCTTGAAATATCTTGTATGAAAATTCCTCAAGTAATTTCAGGACATCCTAGCCGATGCCTTCCTACTGTTCCTTGAGGAAATTTTATACAAGCCGTTTTTGAGGAAATATCAGCTGAGGAAAATCTCGACTTGAGGAAATCTCAAGTTGAGATGTTTTATACAAGTGGGGCCTGATAGCATTTTCCTGTTATCCAAATTATTTCAATGGGAAACCATTCTGTCACAAAATGCAGCGGATTTTAAAATTCAACTCTCCCATTTTGAGAGTAACATTAATATGTTTCCTTTACACTTTACATGTCTTAATACAGAAGAGGTTTAATTTCTATTCTGTGTGATGCCATCTTTAGAAGTAGCAGAGTTTGCATGTTTTCGGGATGTTGAATCATCACCATTAAATTATTCAAATCAAAATCGTGGGTTTATAAATCAAACTTTTCCCAGGCAGGAGAAGGCAGGATGAACTTATGATGAGTGTTGAGATGAAAATATTGCAATACGAAATGCTACTAGTGTTCTTTAAATTAATTTTGAAATGAAGACAAGGTGGACTGATAAAAGTCATATATTATAATAGACCATAATGAGCAAGTTATAAAAACTTGAATACTGCATGTATAACAGCTTAGATATTTCAATTGAAGAATAACGTAAATATGTTAAATATGTTATTCAAATAAAACCATTGGTTTGTCAAATGAGGCCACAACCAGAACTCATTGGTGACCAAATAAACCATGACAAAGTGAATATCACCATCCTAATCAATCATGCCAGTAATGCTTAACATGCAGAGAACAAAATCATGCTATAAAGAATTTTAGACATAGGGTCAATGGGTCAAAGGTGGATGCAGTTCAAATCTAATGACTGTAATAAGGCTTAATCATATACCATACTGATGGACAAAAAGAAAAGTTACGTTGGGATAAGCTATGAAAAATCATGCCTTTTCTGGGCACTTGATTAATTGAATTTAGGCTTGTCCTCCAAAGGTCACTGATTCCTGTCGTATGGCAACAGTAACTTAAAAATTTGATTAAAATGAAAAATGCACACCTGATACTTACAAGGTTGCCCTTAGGACTATAAGTACTTGAATTATAGAAGACAATTTTGTCAACACATGACTTTGAAATTGCCCAGGTAATCAATGAGATAACTTGTAGGTGATGCAGATAGTGGTCAGTTACGTCCTTTGACTATTGTAGTTGGAAGTCCAACAGTAACTCGCACGTTTAACATGATGTGGGAGATATTTGGAAGTTAAGATAAAGAAGTTCTAATTTATATAAATAGGTAACTATCCTGCAATAAAAAAGACCATTAGATAACCTGTGTATGAATTAAAAATCCATCTGAACGGAATATATTTAGAGTTAAATTAACATGCTATTAGAATCATTCCGAATTAGCATAGTTACCATAGTCATAAATCAAGAAAACATGGACAATGTTATATGAATATAATATAGAATTCAATATCTCTTTGAAATTTGAAAAAAAAAAAAAAATGATATTCACAAAATTGTTGGAGAACTGTCACAAACTACCTTCAGGGACCAGACTTTATGGTAGATGCAGAACATGGTTAATTCAATAAATAGATGTTAATCATAGCTTTACTTACACTACAGGGCCCTGACCTAAATATAGATGTAGACGTGCACGATATTGCTGAAGACGACCATAATTAAACACTATTTTGCCATCACTGCAGGATCCAGACATGGCAGTTGAAGTAGACCTAGAGGACCTTGGTGTTGACCAACCAGAACCAGTTGATGCCACAGACTGTAATGGCCACATTCCTGGGGTAGACAACGACCCAGCTGATCAACAATAACAATGACACAGACACTAATTTATTTCACATAAAATGGAATTTGTGCAATTGACATTTCATGGAACTGTAAAAATGAAACATAAAGGCCAACATCAAGAAATTATTGGCGTCTTTGTGAATGCAAGCAAATTGAAGGTATCAGGTCCTGGCCATGAACATTTGGTAATACTTTTAAAGTCATCCGTCAGATACACCAGGAAGTATTAAATCTTTTGGCCTCTTTTGTATGAAAGACAAATAATCTGATTATACCACATGAATTAATGAACACCACCTTGCACATCAGCATTCTTGAAATACTTTGACTTACAATGTACAAAATCTGCCTAAATTTGCTTCTCTACAACACCTTTAATCTTTTGGGGTAGAAGAAATTTTCATATATAGACGTTGGTGACAATTTAAATGTGAAATTAATGGTTTATAAATGATAACTTGTGACGTTTAGAACACTGGGAACTAATTCTTGTATTGAATCTATATAAAAACAGAACATTGATATCAAAATGTAAAACCTTGTTCATGGCATCATGGTATTTTTAAGATTTATTTCTTTTACATTTTTGTTGTATAATATTGTTGATGCATAAAGTTGTTAGCCATATACCTTTTAATCAAAGAACATGAAAAAAACAAAAAATCACTTTCATCCAAATGAAGGTGAGACTGTTTATCTAACCAATATGTGTTTTGAGTTCCTCGTGACATATTTAAATATTTCAATACATATTTTATAATCGTATTCATTGTACAATAAATCTGTCTGGTATGCTTGGGTTCTGGTGGTTTTTATGTCCACATTTAATTATTATATTCATGGATGGTCGGGTGGCACAGTGGTACCGCAGTTGTCTTTCACCTAGCTGTCTAGGGTTTGATTCCAGGAAGGGACGTGAAAGGTATGGGGGTCACATGCCGACCCTGTGGGCTTTCCCCGGGTACTCCATCCTCCTACATTAAGACCACCTACATGCTTGTAATCCTGCCAATACAAAGATTTTATATACTGGTATTCTATTCATTGGTCAGCCATTTTCCTGGGCTTCTTCAACCTGTAAAAGTATGTGCCCTTTGTCTACAGTAAGGTAAACTTCAATGCAAATTACCTCGTCAATGTCTACTTAAATTCTGGAAATCCAAGTTCAGGTTTTGACTTTGATTCTTAAAATCTCTGATCATAAAGTCTAACGTGTAAAAAAAAAATTATAAGTTTCTTTTCAATACACTTAGCTTTAAATCAAGTGGAATCATTATGATCTTAACTTTCACATTTGTTTGATACACAAGCCATTGTAGGATTGCGAGAGGAAAGAAAAAAATCCTTTCTCTTGGTACTGCTGCACCAAAAGATTTAAAGCATGAATTGAAAGTCTTTTCTATGTTTAGTCATTATATCACCAGGTCAAAAATGATTTGGAAATTGGGTCACAACATATCTAAATCTTGTTTATAAAAAAACAGATATTGAATTTTGCAACACTAAGTGCAGCAATACATCTTTATTTTTGATGATTCAATATGGCGTTGACCTTTGATCGAAGATTCTAACAATATTCTCCTTGGGGGGAAAGAACAAATATTTATAACTTCATGTGTTTCTCCAATATCCTACATGGCAATTTCCTGAAGTTCATGCTGAAATCTAATCCTAAACAATCTTAGCAGGACACTAAACTCTGAAAATCAGTAGGTTTTACCTTCTTATGAAAAGGAGACTAAAAATCAAGATAACATTTGTTTGATAATTATCTTTGGCATGATTTTCTCTTAATTTTGATGACATTATGTATAAAGCCTGACACACACACTCATATGTAGCCCAACAAAAGAACACACAATCGTGTAGTCCAATAAACGGACACACACACATGGATGATCCACAGATGTATAGTCAAACAAACAGATGTACAGATCCAGTTAAACAGATACAAGAAGTACACATTTCAAACTCGCACAGTCCAGCATACAGGCACACAGAAAATAGTGTGATGGCAGAACCACTTGTAAACCATCATAAACAAGAGATTACACAAACAAAAATTTCATTTTTTTGAAGTTTTATTTTTGTAGAATCAGCTGACAGCCTTCAACTCAACCTCAAACACCAGTGTACTATTAGGAGGTATTGGACCTGTTCTTTGGTTTCCATATCTGTAACAAGTAAATTAAAGACATTGCTGCAATAACAATTTTATTGTAAGGATACCTTCATATAGCATGACTTAAGGTAAACAATTGTTATCAAGTTGAAAAACAATTTCCACAGCCTAACATAGAACTAGATGTAGTGTTAAACCAGGTCAACCTGATGATTGAATGTGATTACAATATCCCCTTCTGATGTATGATTGTGAGGCTTAATTTGAAATGTGTAAGGTAGGTGAACCTAATTTAATCATGACTTTTTAAACAACTAACTGTAACATTAAACATTAAAATGTGTATACCCTTCTTGTGGAGGCACTGTCAGCTTTCTCGTCCCTCCAACTTTCATACCTGTGGAAAAATTGAAGATATCAAATTTTTTAGCAATACAGTAGGTGTTAAGATATTTTCTTTGAACAAATGTCAGGTTTTTAGGGTTTAGATTTACTTTTGAGTTAAGTTTTCTGTTTTCCTGGAAAGAAATGTAAAATGTGAAATCTAAGACTTGATCTTTAACTCTATGTTAACAGACACTTGAGGTTCATTATATTTTTGGCACTGTGACCTTGAAAACCTTTATCTATAGTGCTATGACTATATTATTGACCTTTCCATATAAGTAATGTAGCATCAATTCTAACTGTTAAGATTTTAGTAATGTTTTTGATTTTATGGGATTTCAAATTGACAAAACAGCCAAGGTCATATGTAGACCAATGTCAAGGGGGATGCCAAGATTGAAAAACAAAGCACAGCCTGGGATGAAATTCCCAATGATTATAAATCATTTTCAATCTATATGTATCTTAAGTGCATTGTACTTAAGGACACATAGGTCCTAACAGTGTCATATAATATTTAGTAATATGATTTTAACCTTTCTTTGGGTGTTACCTTTACATTCTCCTGTAAAGCACATGAAATATATCGATCAATGTAGTTGCATAAACATTAAAACTGCAATTTTATAATATAAGCTGACCATTGTCCCGTTAATGACTGACCCTCACCTTGAGCTACTGACTGACTACATCTCCAGGTACTGACTGACCCCACCTCCAGGTACTGACTGACCATACCTTCATATACTGATTGACCATACCTTCAGATACTGACTGACCCCACCTTCAATTAATGACAGACCAAACCTTCAGATACTGACTAACCACACGTTCACCTTGTAACTAAATATCTGTTTATTAACTGACCACCCCTCTATTAACTTACTAAATCTCTGTTTACTAACTGACCACACCTCTAGTAACTTACTAAATCTCTGTCTAATAACTGACCACACCTCAAGTAACTTACTAAATCTCTGTCTAATAACTGACCACACCTCTAGTAACATACCGGTACTAAATCTCTGTTTACTAACTGACAACACCTCTAGTAACATACCGGTACTAAATCTCTGTCTAATAACTGACAACACCTCTAGTAACATACCGGTACTAAATCTCTGTCTAATAACTGACAACACCTCTAGTAACATACCGGTACTAAATCTCTGTCTAATAACTGACCACACCTCTAGTAACATACCGGTACTAAATCTCTGTTTACTAACTGACAACACCTCTAGTAACATACCGGTACTAAATCTCTGTCTAATAACTGACAACACCTCTAGTAACATACCGGTACTAAATCTGACTGACCACACCTCTAGTAACATACCGGTACTAAATCTCTGTCTAATAACTGACCACACCTCTAGTAACATACCGGTACTAAATCTCTGTCTAATAACTGACAACACCTCTAGTAACATACCGGTACTAAATCTCTGTCTAATAACTGACCACACCTCTAGTAACATACCGGTACTAAATCTCTGTCTAATAACTGACAACACCTCTAGTAACATACCGGTACTAAATCTCTGTCTAATAACTGACAACACCTCTAGTAACATACCGGTACTAAATCTCTGTCTAATAACTGACCACACCTCTAGTAACATACCGGTACTAAATCTCTGTCTAATAACTGACAACACCTCTAGTAACATACCGGTACTAAATCTCTGTTTACTAACTGACAACACCTCTAGTAACATACCGGTACTAAATCTCTGTCTAATAACTGACCACACCTCTAGTAACATACCGGTACTAAATCTCTGTCTAATAACTGACCACACCTCTAGTAACATACCGGTACTAAATCTCTGTCTAATAACTGACAACACCTCTAGTAACATACCGGTACTAAATCTCTGTTTACTAACTGACAACACCTCTACTAACATACCGGTACTAAATCTCTGTCTAATAACTGACAACACCTCTAGTAACATACCGGTACTAAATCTCTGTCTAATAACTGACCACACCTCTAGTAACATACCGGTACTAAATCTCTGTTTACTAACTGACCACACCTTTAGTAACTCATTAGATCTCTGTTTACTAACTGACCACACCTTTAGTAACTTACTAAATCTCTGTCTAATAACTGACCACACCTTTAGTAACTCATTAGATCTCTGTTTACTAACTGACCACACCTTTAGTAACTTACTAAATCTCTGTTTACTAACTGACCACACCTTTAGTAACTTACTAAATCTCTGTCTAATAACTGACCACACCTTTAGTAACTCATTAGATCTCTGTTTACTAACTGACCACACCTTTAGTAACTTACTAAATCTCTGTTTACTAACTGACCACACCTCCAGTAACTAACTAAATCTCTGTCTAATAACTGACCAGACCTCTAGTAACTAACTAAATCTCTGTTTATTAACTGACCAGACCTCTAGTAACTAACTAAATCTCTGTTTACTAACTGACCACACCTTTAGTAACTTACTAAATCTCTGTTTATTAACTGACCAGACCTCTAGTAACTTACTAAATCTCTGTTTACTAACTGACCACACCTCCAGTAACTAACTAAATCTCTGTCTAATAACTGACCATACCTTTAGTAACTAACTAAATCTCTGTTTACTAACTGACCACACCTCTAGTAACTAACTAAATCTCTGTCTAATAACTGACCACACCTCCAGTAACTAACTAAATCTCTGTCTAATAACTGACCAGACCTCTAGTAACTAACTAAATCTCTGTTTACTAACTGACCACACCTTTAGTAACTAACTAAATATCTGTTTACTAACTGACCACACCTTTAGTAACTTACTAAATCTCTGTCTAATAACTGACCACACCTCTAGTAACTTACTAAATATCTGTTTACTAAATTACAACATCTCTACTTACTTATCAAATCTTTATGAACTGCCTGTCACGTTTCTAGTAACTTGAAAAATATGTTTACTGACTTCATCTCCAGTTACTTGATAAATCTTTGTTTACTAACTGACAACACTTCTTTTTACTTTCATACTAGATATCTATTATCTAACTGACAACACCTCTAATTCTTACCAAATATGTGTTAAATAACTGATGCAATGTTCAGTTTCAGAAAAATTATTCTTTTCTGGATGAGAATAGATAACCTGGTGACTATTGCTTGCTGACTTACCAACAACACCAGTGTCCCAGCCACTGATAACCTCCTTTTTACCAAGTCGGAACCTGAAGGGTTTACCACCAGTACAGGAATCAAACTGTTTACCAGTCTTGCCTAGTGTCCCTTTGTAGTATACATGTACCTGAGAGACAAAAAAAAAGACAGTATTATGCTTGCCTTGGGGACCACAATATTATGTGTGTGACAGACTTCAAATACTTTTATGATCCATGTAAAGGAAATCATATTAGTGTTATTTCGGTTGTGAGGAATAGATAAACAGGTCAAATCTAAAACCAGCTACTGAGTATTACCCGTTGACTTTGTTTTAACATAATCCTTGGTCTAACTAATGACTCAATGAAAAGGCATCACAACATAAAGTGGAACATGAGGCCCATAGGGCCTGTATCGCTCCCCTGCTTTAGTTTGCTGAAACAGATTTATTTCAACTACAGGAAAAGCATTTAAAACACTTGTATCTATATTCCCATAATACGCTTACCCCTCCACCAAAAGGGGGTTTAATGCACTGTTTGTAAAAAACTAAGGTCTCTTCACCAAGGATGTTTTCAGTTTTAACATAACAACCATTTTTATTTTCCATTTTTGGCCCACCCCTCCAAGCCTCGAGAGGCAGTAACTCACTGTTGATACAAAACTGATCCCCTTCACCCAAGCATGTCTCCGACTAAATTTGGACAGAATCCGGGCATTCCCACATATAAAGAAGGATTTTTATAGAATTTGCCCTATTTCCCCAATTAGGCTCCACCCCTCCCACCCTTTGGAACTATGACACTTGTGACCTTGTCACAAATTTAAATAAAACACATTTTTTCCATCTTGCAGGGACATAGATGTGTTTCTGCAAGATGGAAAAAATGTGGGACATAGATGTGTTTCTTTTTTTTTTTTTTTTTGTGAAGAAATAACTAGTTTCCATGTTTTAAATGTGGTAATGACTATAGATGTGCAGCATCTAAAAACTGAGGGCAGATTCCTATATTAATATATAAAAATAATGAGGACAATCAGATATATGTACTAAGTGTAACCCAAGTGAATAGTTAGTGATAATAAGATTTTTACCATTTTTCCTTTCCTGGCCTCTGGTCCATGACCAACTTTTATTTCCTCGCTAATGGTGCCGCCAGCTAAAACCGCCTTCTTCGGAGTCTTGTCCTATTCAAAAAGTTTTTTAGTCAATTTATATGTACTTTTATTATGTATAATAACTTAAAACAAGAACCAATATCCCTTCAGAGTAGATAGGGAAAAGTTAATCTTCTAGATCCCAGAAGGATACCAAATAATATGCAGGGCGCTTTTAAAAAGTAGATTGAAAACAAAAGCTTTGTTGCTCCTTAACGTTTTCTGTGGTAACATAATGATGTCATCATATTGTCTAATGTGTTAGTCACATGACCTCTTCTGTTATTCAGCTTCAAAATGTAAGTCGCACCAATAAATTAGGCCCTGATGATGGCCTGTCTAGCAGGCTGAAACATGTCTGCAGTCCCAACCTGAACCTGGCCTCAGGAGATCTTTTATTATGGATGTCAATTTGAAAGGAAAGATACTTAGAAGTGTTCTCTCTAAAAACAAAAGATATTTTCCTTAACTTTATCACAGTAGCATCCAAAAGAAAAATGAAGTATGAATACACAATCAATATCATAGTAAGGTGTCATTAACATAGACCAATAAAATGATTCAAACCAACAAGAGACCCGAGAGGAATCTGGTCACCCACCATTGTTTAATCATCTTTGTTTTGTAAAGTTTGAATTTTTTCTCTTTTTCCATGTAACAATTAATTGATTTGATATATACTGGTATCATAGTCATCACATCTGATGAAACAACACTGCTTGACCATAAAATTTAGAAGATATTTTGAAAAGGATGTGTGTGTTGAGGTGTCAGATATGTGATCTATCTATACATCAAGTTTGGTTAAAGTTGGAGGTATAATCTTTTTAGTAATAGATCTAAACCTACGAAACTTCAGAGTGATTTTACATAGGTCCTGACAAGATTAAATAGGTTATAAAGACATACACACAAAGGACAATAACTTGTCCAACCATTTCATGTCCTGGTTATGAAACAGAATGGGGTCTGATGGCATTACTGTGATCTGTAAAAGGTTGAAGCCATAACAGAAAGAACTCAAGAAAACTGAAGTGTACAGGACCAGAACTGCACCTAATACTGGATTTTTTTTTATATCAGTAACCATATAGGTAAAAGAACAACAGAATTCAAAGTCATAATCTCTGGACAAAAGGAAAAAAAGAGTGGAAGATTGCCATTTTGCACAGTACCCTAAATGTCCAAAACTCCATCGAAAATGGTCATTTTGGCTTGAATTTGAACTCAATATGTAACATCTTAGTTTGAAGAAACACACCAGATTTATCTGTAGACATAACGAAAAATAAAACTGTTGGGGGCATCAAATATAACTAGCATATTAAACGCCTCACTCTGATGAATATGATGCATAGAAAGCATTTGGCAAGATATATCTCTATTTCATTAGGTAAACCTGGGAATTTTATGACAATCACCTTTACTTTTTGTGTATTCCCACCAGGACCTCCTGCTGTATCTTCTTCCTTTTTCTCTTTCTTCTTTTTCTTTTTCTTCTTAGTGCTCTCTGTATTGTCTGAGCCATTCTGTTAAAACATCAATCAGAAAATACGAATTTCACCAAGAAGGAATACTCAAAGTTTCCCAAGATTGTTTCTTTCAAGATTTTGTTCTTAAATCTATCATGAGGAAAGAAGCTTTTAAATGTCAACAATACATGTATATAATGTATATCACTTGCTCAGTGCTCCAGTTAAGATGTGTACACACATAAATTATGCTGGAAAATTAGTCAATTACGCATCAAAAATTAAATGGGTGTGTACTCTCTATGTATTAATAATTAGTACTACGCTGTGGTTTAAGATAGCTTGCGTACACAATCTGGAAATGTTCACACAGACTTTAGTCTGTCCCTAATTCGGCATTCTATACTTCTAAACGCTTTACTGATTTCCCTTCAAATTCAAACGTCTGTCGGATGTTTACATGCACAGAACGTTTGATGACGACAGTGATAAAAATGTCACTTGAATTGTTTGGGTTCCACGTGAGAACCCAACTTTCTTTCGAGACATTGGTAAAAGAACTGTTGAATGAGATAATCAGTGAAATAACAAAATCAAAACAGAAATGAAAATGTGTCTGACAAAAAGATCGAGGAGTGGAAGGCAATGTTCCCGTGGCTGTGTGTCAGCAGGTCAAGTGATGACCAAAATCGACCTTAACATTAACTTGTAGGTTATGCATGGATTCTTAAGCCAGCAATACATTTATGACTGGATGTTTACTCAACTTTTAAGACATAACCCAAGTTTTACTCATCATAATTGAAATTGATGTGTACAATTACCCATTAGGTAAAAAATTATCTGGAGCACTGCTTGCTTCAACTGATGTCTTTGTGAACGATAAATTCTCTAAAGCATTCATGTTTGATGCATGGCCCTTGAGGCATGAATCCATTATAGTTGTTTTCCTCATTTACCTGTGTTTCATTGTCATTAAAGTCATTGAAAGCATTGCCCATATGCAAATAAGTGACATTTACTGATGTTGATTACTTAGAAGAGGGAAAATTGGTGTTTCATGAAAACATGATATTAACAGGAAATTGATATTAAGTGGTTTCCACTGTACCAGTATTATTGCTGGTAATACCTGTGCTTGTTCCTTTTTCTGTTGTGGAGTGGCCTTTATCTCACTCTTCGGAGTATTTACAGCAGATTTCTTTACACTTTTTGGGGTGTCAGCTTTCTGTACTTTTTTTGCTGTTATCTGTTTAACAATTTCATCATTCAGTTCATCATCATCTGAAAGTATAAATGTAGTAAGTTTACTCATTTACAATTATGAATAACATATTAGCTTGAAGATATATATTGAATAAACTATATCAATTTCTTAAAAATAAGTTCACAACACCTTGTTGTGTAATCAATGTTATACTGTAACTAAATGATTTTTACACACGAGGATTTATTTCAGTACCTATGACCATAAATGTGCTGATAAGAAGCTCACTTTGGAATATGGATTTTTACAGAAATTTTTTCATTACTGAATTCATGCAATCATTTCCAGGAATTTACTGTAAATCATTCAAATAAAATCTTGTGGAGGAATATCATAAACAAACACATCATGTGGCCTGTATTTTATCAATAGCTTCTTAAGTATATAATAAATGCAGGCCGACATTGATTAAACAAGAGGTCAAATGGGCCTGCATCAATTACCAAAACAGAAAGCTTCTAATACTCAACTCTACAGATACATTTATTACCTGGATTATAGGTAAATGCCATTTCTTTTATCTCAGAATTTGTCTCAATTTGACCCAGAAACAAAATTCAACCAAATATCCAGTTTTTCAGACTTAAGATTTACCCAAAAAAGCATTTAACAGGTTATAATAGGTTTACCCCTATGACCTTCAAGATAGGTCAAGGTCATTTCTTTTTGCAAACTTTATCAGGGTTCATCCCTGCAACCATCCAGCCAAATACCATGACATTTGGTCTGTTTTTTTATTGAGAAGGAAGCATTTAAATAGAAAATTTTAGGCCAGGTGAGCTAGAAACTATAAGATCTATAAACTATAAGATCTATTTTTTGTTAATTAATCATAAAGCATAATTCTCACCATCATCATCATCATCATCATCATCATCATCATCATCATCGTCATCCTCGTCAAAATCTGCTAATGTGAATGGCATCTGTAAAAATTAAAATGATGTTTAAATTCTGATGGCCGAGATCTTAGTGTAATGCTACAGTAGATTCTATCACCTCTGAGGTTCAGTCAGGATTCCTTCATGTGACACGGTTTTAGTACGTTTTAAACCTTTTAGATGTTTTTTTATTTACAATATTAAAATCACAATTGTGAAATAAGCAAGTTTAATTGATTTAACACATGTTTACCAATAGGAATAACAACAACTGGAAAAAGAAGCTTATCTGCAAAAACCAACTCCGGATATGGCCAACTTGAAAGGCAGCATTTAAGTATTTCAGCAAACTGCAGTTGACAATTTTTTGTGGACCTATTAATGCATCCTTGTACTGACACTTCAGATAAAGTATTAAATACAATGATTTGATTATATGTTAACAACACACATACATCTTCATCATCATCATCACTATCATCATCTTCACTGTCATCATCTTCCTCCACCACTACAACCTTCGCTTTCTTCTTGCCTGGTTTTTCTTTAAGTTCCTGTTTACGTTTTTTGGTTGAAACTGAAAAAATGTATTTCAACAAAACCTTACTGATATATTGTATATCCTGGCTATCAATATCAGGTAGACAATAAAGACATGACCTTTTTTATCATTGAAAAAGGGACTGGTTAAAGCTACCCCTATAACATAACTGGTGGCAGGTCATTCCATTTAATATCCAGCATTATTGACCCAACTGCAACATATTAAGGTATCAGTCATAAGCATGATGCCATGCAAGCCTCTAATTTTGTTGAACTGCTACTCCAGAAGTTTCAGCAACAAAGTAACAAGTAGAGTATCTTCAATAATTTTAAGTTCTCAGAGGAATGATAGATCCATGTGGATCCTATTGCATTTTGGTGAATCTTTCAGCAGTAACTATTCCAATACCCTCAAACCTTCTTGTTAATAACAATGACATATCATAACAAGAGGCCCATGGGCCTTAACGGTCATCTGACAAAAAGCAAGCCAAACCTAGAAAGTGGGTTGAGGTCATTCATTTGAACAAACTTGGTAGCCTCTCCTCCAAGCATCTTACAGGCCCAATATCAGCACTCATGGACTTTTGCTTGTTGAGAAGAAGTCGTTTGTATATTTTAACATATTTGACCCCTGTGACCTTGAAAGTGAGTTGAGGTCATTCATTTGAATAAACTTAGTAGCCTTTCCTCCCAGCATGCTACAGACCCAATATCGGCACTCATAGACTTTTGCTTATTGAGATGAAGTCCTTTGTATATTTTAACATATTTGACCCCTGTGACCTTGAAAGTGGGCCAAGGTCATTCATTTGAACAAACTTTGTAGGGCTCCATGCCAGCATGCTATGGGCCAAGTATTAGCCCTCTAGGCCTTCTAGTATTTGAGAAGAAGTTATTTAAATATTTTGACATATTTGACCCCTGCGACCTTGAAAGTTGTTCAAGGTCATTCATTTAAATAAACTTGGTAGCCTTTCCCCCCAGCATGCTACAGACCCAATATCGGCACTCATAGACTTTTGCTTATTGAGATGAAGTCCTTTGTATATTTTAACATATTTGACCCCTGTGACCTTGAAAGTGGGCCAAGGTCATTCATTTGAACAAACTTTGTAAGGCTCCATGCCAGCATGCTATGGGCCAAGTATTAGCCCCCTAGGCCTTCTAGTATTTGAGAAGAAGTTATTTAAAGATTTTGACATATTTGACCCCTGTGACCTTGAAAGTTGTTCAAGGTCATTCATTTAAACAAACTTGATAGCCCTTCATCCCAGCATGCCACAGGCACAATATCAGCAATCTGAGCCTTTTGGTTATTGAGAAGAAGTTGTTTAAAGATTTTAACATATTTGACCCCTGTGACCTTTAAAGTGGGTCAAGGTCATTCATTTGAACAAACTTGGTAGTCCTTCATCCCAGCATGTCACAGGCCCAATATCTACACTCTGAGCCTTTTGGTTAATGAGAAGAAGTTGTTTAAAGATTTTAACATATTTGACCCCTGTGACCTTGAAAGTGGGTTGAGGTCATTCATTTGAATAAACTTGGTAGCCTTTCCTCCCAGCATGCTACAGACCCAATATCGGCACTCATAGACTTTTGCTTATTGAGATGTAGGGCTCCATGCCAGCATGCTATGGGCCAAGTATTAGCCCCCTAGGCCTTCTAGTATTTGAGAAGAAGTTATTTAAAGATTTTGACATATTTGACCCCTGTGACCTTGAAAGTGGGCCAAGGTCATTCATTTGAACAAACTTTGTAGGGCTCCATGCCAGCATGCTATGGGCCAAGTATTAGCCCCCTAGGCCTTCTAGTATTTGAGAAGAAGTTATTTAAAGATTTTGACATATTTGACCCCTGTGACCTTGAAAGTTGTTCAAGGTCATTCATTTAAACAAACTTGATAGCCCTTCATCCCAGCATGCCACAGGCACAATATCAGCAATCTGAGCCTTTTGGTTATTGAGAAGAAGTTGTTTAAAGATTTTAACATATTTGACCCCTGTGACCTTTAAAGTGGGTCAAGGTCATTCATTTGAACAAACTTGGTAGTCCTTCATCCCAGCATGTCACAGGCCCAATATCTACACTCTGAGCCTTTTGGTTAATGAGAAGAAGTTGTTTAAAGATTTTAACATATTTGACCCCTGTGACCTTTAAAGTGGGTCAAGGTCATTCATTTGAACAAACTTGGTAGAGCTCCATGCCAGTATCCTCTGTGCCAAGTATTAGCCCCCTAGACCTTCTAGTATTTGAGAAGAAGTCGTTTGAATGAAAAGTTTACGGACGGCGCACGGCGGACGACGACGGACGAAGCATGATGACTATAGGTCATCGGACCCTTCGGGTCAGATGACCTAAAAACCATTATATATTATAATAAACATCTATTTTCAAGCTTATATTATTTTCAGTCAGGTGCTCTTAGCTGCCAATCAAGAAATATACATTTTGATAGATTATTTTCACATAAATTGTGACACACACGCTACAGTTTGTACATAAAAAATAGATACTGATTATCGTAAGTGTACTTTATTTTAATCACAATATGTTCTTCAAATTATCAAGATTTTCACCTTTCTGAGTCTTAATTACTAAGATGAGAAGAAAATTTTGCATGGACCAACAAAATACTTCCAGTTGATCAGGGTAATCAAGTTTTCTGAATTTAAATTAATGAAGTTTGACTATGTTTACAATTACGGAAGTAAAAATGTACTTAATTCACAACTTCTGCATACATTTGAGTTTCCAGTATCAAACTTGTCTTTCTCAATCTGAATACTTTTCCTCACAATAACTTTACAGTTTATATTTGCAACCAACATATCTGCAAATTTATCTACTTCCTAAAAGATTTTTCCCTACAAGGAACCCTTGGCTTATTGTTTTTAACTGGCTCAGCTTCAAGAATGGCTTAGTTTCAAGATTAAATAGTATTTTAAATTATTCATATAACACTTACGCAGCTACACTTGACCAGATTTCACTGAACCTACAAAATGTTACCTGTTAAAACAGGACTCTTGTCTTCATCCTCATCACTATCATCATCATCATCATCATCATCATCTAGACCAACAAGAGCTGGTGCTATAATCAGAAAGCTCACAATATAATCACTGAAAGATAAACCTGGCTTTTTTAATCCGTGAATATGTAAACAAGAGTTCTGCTTGGCAAATCAGTAATGCTCAACCCATGCCAAAGAAATATTCATGATTTATGATATATATATGTGTAGAAAATTGTACAGGTAAAGACAGTACAAAATATTGAGAGGGAAACAGTGCTTATGTTAAATATGAATATGTGAAAATGATGCAAGGAACAAAGGGCAATAACTTCTTTAAATATTGTTGTATCAAAATGATGTTCAGAACACAATCTCATGTTGTGGTTTTAAGACCAACCAAGTTTCAAAGATATTGATTAAAAACTGAGGGAGAATGTTAAACCTGTTTGTTTCAAACTGAAGACTGTTTTTTTCCTAACCAAAATTATCTACTATCACTGGAAGTCATATCAGGAACATTTTTGGATGGTAAAACACTTGCTCTGTGTAAGTATTTGCTAAACACCCTCTTATAGAGACTTCTATGTGCCGGAGTGACAGTGTTGTCAGAGATATGAATTACACTTTTATATATTTTATCTTGTCTTAGAATTATGGAAAACCTAGAGACCCCAAAACAAATCAACACCATATATCCATTTTTTATCTACCAAGTGTAACTGTACCATGCAAATTATCAAGTTATTAACAAATTATCTATTCCCAATGGAAAGCTTGAAAGTCAGGGTGATCCATTATGAGGAAATGATGTGGGCCATTGAATGAACACCCATGACCGGATGAAGTCTTTCATACATGTTTATTACCTGCGTCAGAGTCTGAATCAGACATGTCCTCCATGCTGAGGTTAGCATCATCCATATCCTCCATGTCTGACATCATATTCTCATCCTCAACTAGGTATCCAGTCAAATGCACAATCCCTGTTATTATAACAGAATTTTAATTTTTTTTAAATGCACAAACATTTCAGCATGATTCCACAAGACCAATTTTACCTTTTTCTTGCTTTCTTCTGTTTTTTTCTAAATCTACGAATTTTGCACTACATTTATAAACTTGAGGATTCTCCACATAACTTGATGTACCAAGGTAATACATTCATATCAATGAAAGTGATGGATGAACAACAAAAATATTATACACAAAAATCCACCAATAAAACTAGTACATTTGTTCTCCTTTCTACATAGCACTGTTTCAACGGCAAAGTTTATATTTGAAATTGAAGAGATCAGAGACCATGCATATACAGACTCAAAATTAATATGGCCTAACATTGTCAACTTTCTGCCAAAAAATGAAATAAAAATGTGAATTGTTCTTTTTCAATAGTTCTTTTCACATTCAGTATTTTGTTATTTTCCATGCAGAACCTGAAATGACTAATTGAATCTTTTACCCTCTCTTGTAAACTAAATGCTCAATATTGTTGTGATGTTATCAAGTTGATGTCTCATTTGATTGATACTGTTTAACCATGCATTTATCATGATGGTTATGACAAACAAAGTCCACACCAGTGAAAGTGTGGATACCTGTCAGGGTAAGAAAAATAAACATCACTTACCTGTGCCATTTAAGAAGAAGGTAACTTCTTCACCTTCTGTGAAATTGAGGTCCAGTGTCTGTTGATACAATCGTCCCTGTTCAAGTGTGCAGAGCATGAACTCTGCCTTATCATGTTGTATCATCACAGACACAGGCTGCTTCGACTTCCCATTTGAGGCTATATGAAACAGACAAACACATGATGATCTATGGAAATCAATCTAACAGCAAAATGTCTACCCAGTATGTACAAAATATATGTATTACATTTCATTTCACTCAAAAGGGAAATTTCAGCCGTAATATTCAAGGTCTCTTTTTATCTGAGAAAGCTCTTGCAGAATTTTGTCTAACTTTATATTATCAATACTTTTTTAATGATGTTGATGAAGAGTGAAAATTTGGTAACAATGACACAGAGACAGTTGGAGCAATGAGTCATTTTCTACCGTTTTAATCAATGTAAAAATATGATGAATCATCCTAAGTATAAAAGGAGCAGATTTTAATTCTGAGGGATTCAGTACCCTTCAAACCTTCAACTATTGTCAGACAAAGTAAGATTAAGTGTGTTGATATCAGCAAAGGCCAATATACAGTTACAGCTTCCCTAAATTTCTTCATCTTATTGTAAGAGAATATTTACCAGGCTCCAGAGCTGCCATGGAGATGTGGAAGGAGCGCTCCACAGTCTGAGTGTAGTGTTTACCGCCATCTAATGTCACACCTGGAATACATTACAATTAAAAGACAATGTCTACATTGTATATATGTACAATATATTTTGACAATGGTTCCGAAATGTTATGTATTTCAGTGCACCCATTTTGTTGAGCAGTATCATGTGAACTACTGACCTGCGTGACCTCGCACCTAGATAATTTTGGTTGCTGTAACATGTCATGTTTCCACAAAGAACAAAAAGGTGTAATTTAAACCATTCACCATGAAATTTCATGAGTATGTATTTCATTGTTAAATTTATATATTTTTTTTCAAAAGCACATTTTCACATATAAAACAACCTCATTTTCACATGTAAAACAACCTATTTTCACAACCACATTTTCACATGTAAAACAACATCATTTTCACATGTCAAACAACCTATTTTCACAACCACATTTTCACATGTAAAACAACATCATTTTCACATGTCAAACAACCTCATTTTCACATGTAAAACAACCTCCCAGATATAAAATAAACCACAAATCCATCCAAGGATGCCAGTGTTTTGTTGTCATCTATCAAGTGAATAAATATCAATCATGTGGAGTTGAAGGCTACTTACTCCAATTGGAAGACTAACAGTATTTAAGACTTTGGTCATCTTTCAACTAAATCATCTTTTTATCTCACTTCCAAATCCTGATGAAACCTACATCAAGACTCTTAATACAGAATTATACCATTTCCTATGGAAAAGTAAAGTTGATAATGTATTATGTAAAAAAAATGCCACACCCACTGGTAAATTAAAATGGATTAACTACAATATCAATGATGACACATGGAAACAAATCTATATACTTCCTTTCAAAGTTACTAAAAATATCAAATTATAATGGCTTCAATACAAAATTAATCACCACATTTTGAATACCAATTCAGTGTTATTTAAGATGGGATTAACTGATAATTCTTTCTGTTCATTAGGTAAAACAGATAGAGAAACAACTGAACACATCTTGTGGGATTGTCAAGAAGTGAGATGATTGCTACATAACTTTGAGAGATTGTCTCAGATTTTTCATACAAATAAGATAAGAAATCTTTCATCTTTGGATTTTTAAGCAATGATTAAGCAAAGGCTGCAGTTGATAATGTGATAAGTTTAAGCATTAAATATTATATATATATAAAACAAAGTGTCTTAAAAACAGTCTATCTATATATATTAGCACTTATTAAGAACAAAAGCGCATATCAGAAAATCAACATGAAGCTGAGAAATTTAAAACGCTTTGGAGAGAATGGTCAGCATTATTAGAGTCTAATTGTGACACCTCACCTTTCTTCTTTTTTCCCCCAAAATCTGCTTATTTAATAATACTAACAGAAATATTTATGTCTCTTCTGTAAAGAACCAATAAAAATTGATAAGTATCACGTTTCTTACTTCACTGTATTTTGTTACATTGTTTGTCTTATGTCTTGACTATCTGTTTATTATTTCTGGTCTGGTCACTGTCCATTTGTCTGTCCTGTTTGTATGTTTGTCCTGTTTGTTTACCCTGCTTGGTTGTTCATGTGAGTGTTTTTTTTTGTTTTGTTTATCTGTCTATTTATATTAGGTTTACCAGAATATCTATTTTATTATATTATAGCTAAACGTATCAGTATGTTGAATGAGAGGCCCCCTGCGTGATGGCTCCTCAATCCTGGCAGCCTCCTTTAAATTAATTGCTGAGGATATAAAATTTGTTCAAAACCTCAAAAAAAACACCAAACATATCAATAATGAATAATAGGCCATACCTTCTTGCATTTCTTTGGGCTGCAAAAGTCCAAACATACAAGTATATATTGGACAAATGATGATTTTAAAATAATCACTTCAAATGACTCATTTCTGATTTTTCTGATTTGAATTAACAAGCCGGTTGCAGACAACCAGACCAAAAAATAATTTACATAATTTAACAATAAACACTTTAACCCTTAGAAAAGGTACACACATAAATATCCACCATTATTGCACCATGATTTTATTTTGATTTTTTTTTTTTTTATCAAATGTCATTTCCATTCAAATGATTTTATGTAATACACTTTTCAAGTGTACTCTTAAGCCACTAGTGTCAGCTAATGAAGCATATCTGTGATTTAGTGATGTCATCAGAAACCGAAGTGTAATCACATTTCAAATTAACATGTTGGTCATTTCAGGTGAGCGAATTTGAAGTCATATCTGTGGATAATAGGAAAATACTTCTGTTTCACGTGTTATTTTTTTAAAATGAATCTGATAGTATAAACACATTTCAAATCAATTATGTATTTGTTCGGTTGCAATTCATTGACATAGCATAGCTAGCAAGATGTGCCAAGGAAAGTACATCCTTGTACTTGGTACTGGTGAATTACCAGATGTCATATTCGCTTTAATTTTGGCAATTAGTGGTCGGCCTGATCATAAATTCACAACAATTAACTTCAACCTTAGTTAACACTGATTTCTTCAAATGACTGGGTACATAAAGTGACGTGATCTGAAGACAAATAATAGAGCTCTGCTAGAAATCATTTTTTCACAATTATCTAAAGATAGAGTCAATGGCAAGTGTATAGCATAATGGAAACTGTTAAAGTAAAATTTCTGTAAAATTTTGTATCAAAAATGATATTAAATTGTTAAGGTCCAAGATCTAGTTCCAATATAGAATGAGTATGGAAAATGAATACAATAAGAATATTGTATATTAAAGAATATTTCATTTTAAAAGCATTTTCATATGTAATATTCTCGCTGTTTAAGCATTATGACTCCCATTAATTTAGGCAGAAAATTTTATGGCCGATTCATATATATCATTTCACCGAATGCGACAACTGTTCAAAACAGGAACACGTGTGGCGAGGCCCTCGGTTGGCCAACTTTTCAAACTTAACTCGTAAAGACACAACTGGGTTTCATATCAGCAAAATCTCTATGGACATTTAAAATACGCCTTTTATGAATATCACAAACTCACCCCAAAACATATTCTGGACTTCAGATAAAACAACCATTGGATTTAAAGTTTAAAAGTCTGCACACACATCAAACCACATGCCGAACAGCCGTAAAAAGGTCGCTACAATAACAGTTCGAATGTCGTAAAACGTGACGTGCACAGGAATTGAATGCGTGTAGAAAATAACAGCAATTCTCACCTACTGAAAATACTATTACCAACTGCGTGCCACAATTTATTGGTTTTATTCTCCTACAAGTGTAAAGATTCTTTTTTAGAGTATACATCTTTCTTTTGTTATGAGTTTTCTTGTAGTTTCGACAGGAGCGTATAATAGAGCGATTAGAAGCTGCTCTTTGTAACGCTGTGAAAAAGAAATTCATGTTAACTAGTTACACTTTTTCTAAATCATTTGTCTCCAAAAGTACACATCTATACAATTTTCAATTTGAGAAAATCATCTTTAAATTTTTAGCGTTAAAATCCGATTAATTTTCCGACTCCTGTAACTGTTGAGATAAGTTAATACAGAGACGTATATATGATACGATATATACGTCTCTGGTTATTAATATAATATTTTTGTAACGAAAATGAGCCTCACTTAAAATGACTCTGGTCAAACCGGTCAGTGCAAAGTCCACACTTCAATTCCGAGTATTACCTATGGTTGGTTATTGTATATTAATTGTTTTATCTTGTTCATAAAAGCAATTACCCTTATTTTAATTATCACAATAACATTTTGCCAGTAGTTAATTTTAAGTTTTTTCTTTAGTAAAACAAAAAAATGTTGAAAATTGATATTTTTGAAGAATCGTATCTGAAAAAATAAAAACGTGGTATAAGTAACACAATTCTAAAAAATATAGTACATAATATCACACATGTGTTATATACGTCTCTGATAATATTTGTCATTTCTGTCATCACACTAGCTATGTGTAAATCTTTCCACGCGTTTCCTCTGATTGGAATAGAAAATATATTTAGGATGAAGTTTTTATATCATGTTTTATTGCTGGACCAAGGGGGATAACTCCCGCATTAATGACCTGTTACTGAAAATGATGTATTGTTACAATACCGCGATTGAAATCACGCCGATGGTATACTATTCACCATGTGGACCATTCTTTGGTAAAATACGAATCCCTCGTCACGTATTTTGTAACTTTTATTAAGGGCTTGGAAATAAATCTAAGGTCGTGGTCTATGGAAGATTTCAGTTATCTCCCTTGGTCGACAAGTTACACGACTTCGAATTTTTTATTACAACCCATGGTCAATTACGAAAAATATCATATGTGTTCTGTGAATTAGTTTGTCATGGCTATCAGAAAGCTGGAAAATAACCATAATCCTTTCATTATAAAATCCAATCGATGGATTACACAAAATATAAGGAAATAACTAATCACTGGGCGCGGACATTTTGAAGTTTATAATTGTAAAAGCAATGATTGGATAATATTTACATGACGTCACTAGTCGCCATATTTTGGTATATCGAGCAAGTGGCGCTCAAATTCTGTCGTGAGGCTTTGTGATAAAACAAACATGTCTTCGGAAGATTTGTCTACTGAGCAAATGTCAGGCGACAAAACTGTACCTGACAACGACAACCAGGAAGAGCAGAGAGAATCACCGACACCAAAGGGGGAGTTTGTTCATCCAGCACCCCCAAAGAAGATGTCAACAAGGGTACGAAACACACACATTTCTTTGATGATTTAAACGAGTTTATAAAATGTTTATTTAAACTCATTTATATGTCCCTGATTGATAGCGACACGACGATTACATTTATTGGAAATTATACCGGCATTCTTTTTCAGAGAAGTAACATACGTTTTATAAATTAATCCAACATTTTAACCTTTATTTAAGTTCAGATCATGAGATTCTGACTTGAGGGAATACTGAAGGGCACATTTTCATTTCACGCAATGGGTTTTTTTTTTCATTATAACTGTTATTTCCTTCATTTCTAATAGTTTGTTTTTCTGTAACTTCTGTCGTGCGAGTCATCTGATTTTCGGTATCTGCCTAACACTACTTTTATCCAAGATGGGAACATGATCTGTAGTAGGAGGGAAAAAGTAATGTGTGAGACTGGGGTTTGAACCATGACTCTTTAAACTCTTAGATGTATGATTTACCAATTGAAATACCGTGTCATTGGCAACTGATTCACAGGGGATAGCAAATATATATGTACAGACATTGTTGCAAGCCCCAGTGATCAATCCAGTCTGCTGCATTTTTAATGCCCTCCTTTATCTTCTCCCCTGTTTGAATATGTAATGAAATGGAATGGGAACAGAAAAATGCATGGCCAAACCAGGGTTTGAATTTGGAACCCTCAGAACTCTAATCAGATGCTATACCAATTGAGATACCTGTTTTGTGGACCATCATCTCGATCAGTCCAGTTCCACTAAATTTCCTTGGATTTGCATTGATGATATAAAATTTGATTGCACAACACACCATCCTATAACAGAGGCTCCATCTTTGAACACAATTATGGTACAGACAGGGTTTTCCATAAGAGCCGGTCACCGGCCAGTTTGACCCGCTACTTTGATTATTTGGCCGCCTACACCAATCCAGTTCTGTAATAATGTTCCATACACGACTACACGTACATGGCAGGCCAGCCTCCTACTTTCACTACACAGCCCACTACTAACAAAATTATGGAAAACCCTGTACAGGAATGCTTTTTGAAAATAACTGGCCACAATCAGAGATGTATATAACACAGGGAGAAGTAACTTCTTCTGGAGTTGTACCATTGGTCATACAGGACAGATGTCTATTGGTAACTGTTTGTACAACATTGTTTGTACAGCATGGAATATCTAAAGGATTTTTGAAGAAAGTACATGTTTAAATCTCAATATGTAACATATATTCTGCTACGACTTTCGGATGATTATGATACGTTCTGATTCATTATTTAAGAATACCTTTCCGAAAAAAACATAATATTTCTGTGTCCAATGCTATGTATTGTCAGCATATTGGCTACCTTGAAGTTGCTTTTCACAGAACACATAAAACTCCACTTTGTCCAATTTGATGATTTGAATTAAATTTGGTGTTAAGATATTGATTGGTGTTTATAAATTTTTCATAATGATTTATTTGTAAATGATATTTAGTTATCATTTAATTAAGAAGAGAAAATTTTGTGGTATCATATCAACCAAATTAGGTCTGAAGCATACTGAGGGAACCAGTTTTGTATAAACGATTGAGTCTCAACCTCCTATGGCAAGAGGGGAAATAAAGCAAATCCTTTAAAACCTACTCCAATATGAATGATCATGTTTTGTTCTGGGTTAGTCTCCAACCTATTGGGTTTGATTGGTGGGGTCCAAGAGGGGAAATGGAACAAATTATATAAAATTCTATTCCTCCTGTAAGAATGATTGGATTATGACCAAGTTTGTCCTGAAGCATTCTTGGGTGAAGAGGAATCAAAACGGCCAAGAGAGCAATACAGGCCCTATGGACCTCTGGTTTGCTCACCTGGGTCAAAAGGTCAAGTCAGCTTATTATAGAGTGGTCATTGGGTTGTTCACCAGATTTATACTAAAACAGCTGATTCTCGATTACCAAAAGGTCACAGGGTCATAGTATTTATTTCATAGACTTAATAGATGAAGATCTACAAATTTAAGTTACTAAATGAGATGACCTGAATCTGTATTCAAGATTACTGGGTTCAACTGTCTTACAACAGTCAAATGTTTTCACCTTTCCATAAATTGTACATGAACTGAACAACTTTGCAACAGTGTCTCTCAGTTCAAAAAAGTTTTGGACAAATAAACTTTACCTGGCAGTGCAATTAAACATGCTGGTTTCAAAATTTATATGAATATATTTGACACTGGCCCTCTGAAAAGCAGGTGGTCAATGCAGATCCATTAGTTGTCATGTTAGACTTTGGTTTGTCTTGGTCTGGAGATAGAACCTATCCTTACTTTGGTGGATGCTCAACCTTAAAGCTGAGAGTAAAGTATTACTGAGTGAGACAGATAGGAAGGGAAAGGTGGTTTAGGAAACGGAGAAGATATAATCAAGTTTACTACAAATCTGACATGTAATCGGAACATTTAAGAAGCCTTTCTCATATATTGTAAGTAAGACAACTATTTGGTATCTAGTGATCTGTTCATCCTGTTATTGGCTTTAGAAACTGTAATAAAGACAGCATGTGTTTGTGTCTATAGGAGGAAATGATTCAGGAAGAGAAGAGAGAAGAGAAAAAGCTCAAGAGTAAATACCCCAATTTCAACTCCAAAGCTGGAGGATCAGCTCTGCTGGCTAAGAGGATGCAGCAAAGGGTAATATCCAGTTTGAATAACATCTGGGCCCGTATTAATGAAACCGTTCTCATGCTCAAGCTTTGTCTTGTTTAAGTTAAAGATTAATAAATAACACTGATTTTGCCGAAGATTTAAAAACCATTTTGAAAGGACTTCAAGTCAAAGCTATATTCAAGGTTTAAATTTGACATTTGTATTATTTTATATGATTTAGGTGAATTATAAAAAAGTTTGCTTGAACACAAAATCTCTGTTTGAGCATTAGAATGGTTTCATGGATACAGGCCCTGATCTGTTAGGAGTTGACACATTCTGTATTTTGTTTTTTTGAAAAAAGTAGGAACAGCCATAAACTGAAATCAAAAATTTGAAGTTTTTCATTTTGCTTGTTTGTTGTTGTTTTTTTTTTTCACAGAAGTTATTGTGAAATTGATCGCATCTGATATGAACATGACTGGTGATAAGTGTAAATTTTTTTATATGGAAATTATGAAAGATCAACATTTATGTTTGATTAATTGCCAAATTCTTGTGGCTGTTGAAATGTAAACAGGACATGCATGCGGTCCATAAGTCCATGACACTGTCCATATCTTTTACAGCACTTGCTGATCCATGTTAATGACCTTCATTTGTATGGGAAAGACTTCTTAAAATGTTGTAGGCATATCACATTTAGGTCAAAAATTTTCTGCAGTTTATGTCCTACTTTGTATCCCTAATTTTGTGTGTAGCAGTTTGAAGAGTTACCAGTTGTGAATAGTATTGCCTTAATACTTGTATATATATAAATGTGTATCTTTCTGCAGAAATATTTTGATTCTGGAGATTATATGATGGCACAAGCAAAAGTGAACAACCCAAAGATCCCTTTGGCTCCCAAAGAAAAGAAGATGATATTACAGGAATCCATCGGAGATGCCATCCCTACTCCAGAAAATCTCCCTCCTCGAAAAGCCTCATTAGCTACAAGTAAACTTGCATCTGGACAGCTGGCTGGCCCACTGATATGAACACAAGCACTCTGAACTGATCCTCTATAATCAGATATTAGAAATACATGGCAATGCATTTTACATGAAAATCTTATCTGTGGGAGTGAGCTGTATTCGGTGATTTATTGGTTACTGTTACTGACAGGATGTTTATGCTGATCAACATTAATCACTTCCACCGTAATGAGGATCATCGTCTCTCACCACAGATTTGTTAACTTAGATACAGGATCTAACTGATGTGACTACATGCAGTCGTCATTAACAGGAGTGTAATCTGCGGTTTACATACAGCTTGAATTCAAAATTAAACAGTGTTGCTCCATTTAATATTGACACAGGTACATACTGTGGTTGATGGGGCACCATAGTCAATTTCAACATGTCAGTAGTATTTAAATATATTGTCTACTTTTAGTCGTGATTGACTATTATAGTCAACTAGTGCTGCACTCTATATAATGATTCAGTTTTAGGAGTAATGATTGATTTACTTTGTCATCTTTGACTAAGGCCCATCTATATTGATTGCATGATTGGATGCTTCAGTCAATAATGATAAAGTTTTAGGTAAGAGCAGTAATTGACTCCTGTAGTCAACTTTGACTTCTTACTTTATATGCTTTGCACATAACTTTATATAGATGTTAGTTAATTTCTGCTTGTCAAGCAATTTTTTACCTCACCTAGTCTGAAAGATCATAGTACTGAAAATGGGTTTTTTTTCATCTGAGGTCTGTCAACAGCTTTTTGAAAACAATAGTTGGTCATTAAATCTAAGCAGATTTTAACAAAAATTTGCAAGAAGTATTCTTAGATGAATAGGAAGCAATTTTGTATGAATGGTGGGTCTGATAAATGGTTTTGCTGACCATCAAGGGGTATAGGGAACTGGGCCAATGGGAAAATAGATATAAACATTCACTGTTTTTTTCTGTAGTTTTGATTAAGCAATTTTCGCATTGCCAGGTGAGTCCCAGTAGACCTCATTTTTTCATTTCTTGTTTTTTTTTTGTTTTAGTAATTCGATTCTTTTGAATCTTTATATGTTATGTATATGTAACTGTTACAATACATTTAACAACATATCATTGTACAGTTCCAGATGTAATATTGATAGGAATATGTATAATTTGGTGTGTTTGTCTTAGAAAAGTCTTCACCTAACAAAACATTATAAAGCAATCTAGATTTTTTTGTATGTTGATTCAGGAATGAGCATTTAGTGCTATAAAATACATATATGAAAGTTACTGACTTTTATTGAAGTTAAATGTGAACATCATATGATAGTGCAGAATGTAAAAATAATACCTTTATTAAGATCAGGTCTTCTCTGATTGAGGTCTATTCCTTTTGTTTCTCAATGATTTATTACATTTTTTGATAGGACAAGAGGATCAGTGGTCATCCTTAGTTTATCACTCAAATTATGTGAACTGGCAAACATGCATTTCATTAAAATGACATGATGGCTGGCAAGTATTGGGTAGATAGTCGCAAAATGCCAAATGACGTCTACATAACATTATGTGCAATTATGGGTAGACATTCAGCCTGTTGTAGATAATGTGATCAAGTGAGCATTTGTTGTCGAAGAATATTAAAAAAAATTCTCTGGAACACCGCAGTGCTAATAGGAAAATGAGAATTATCATGAAATATGGGTAAATGTCTTGACTTACTGAGTTTCTTTTACTCACATTGCTTCATATTTTCATAAATACATGATAGCATTCCCAAATTGTGTGTGCATTTGTACAGTTATAATGAATATTTCTATCCATCAAATCTAGGTTTTATATGAAACTTAAGTGAATTATTAATTTTGTTGCTTTCGTATCCTATAAGAGTATGTTTTGTACTGTAACCTAAATTCTTCATAACTGTTTTATCTTTTTCACAGCAAACTTGTTTTGTCTTTATACTGATTTCATTAGTCCTGAGTGATGATCATCTGTTCCAATTGTTGTGATTAAAGTCTCCATGTTATCAAGTGCTTCTGAATATCATAGATTGTCATACAAAACTTGAGGTGGATGGAGATGATTACTGAAGTTGAAGCTTGTCACGTTGAACAGTTTGCAGACATTATAACTTTTGTATAGAGTGCCCTATCCAAAAGTGCTTAGCCTGTAATATATTTTCTTTTAGAACTCCCTAAGCTCTACAAATGAATATTGATTCAACTGTAATTAATTTAAGGTGAACACAACAAAATTCACTAGGTGTTTTTTGTTTTTGTTTGTATGTTTAGAAAGCAACACAAAGGTTGATTTTACAGTCATTTTAAAGCTTACATGGCTCTGGAAAAAGGCAATGAAGCCATAAAATTCAAACATGCTGCAAATCTCCATCCAAATGTTACTTTTACCAAACAAGAACTCCTTGTAATCAAACAGACAAGGGAATAATTTGTCTGAAACTAAATTTGACAAATTTTATGAAATGCATCATATACTACTGTGCACATAGATTCAGGGTAAACTACATATTAGGTAAAAAAGCAATTTTATAATGCAAAAATGTAAATTATCAAAATCAGTGTTCTTTATCAATGTTTAAATTCATAGCGATCAAAATTTGCTTTGATTGCAAAAAAGTAAATAGCACACTGAAGAAAGTTGATTTACAGTAAAGGTTTTTGAATCAGTTTGATTATCCAGGTTGGTCAGATGAAATTTTAACAGTTCCCCAAGTCAAGTTTGATGATAAATTTAACATTTTTCTTGTGTGTGTTCTTTTTTCCAAAGATGTGCAGATACCAGGTATATAAATATGAGTGTTATGGGAATGAAAAAAAGACAGATTTTTTCTGAAGCTAAATAGAGCTTTTTCATCAAAATTTTTTTATGTCAAATCTATGTACGTGCTTATGTCAATTTGGTGATGAAGTTTGTTAGTTTTTGTACTTTTCTGTTAATCTTATCCTTGTTCTGTAATATGGGTTGTCTGCATTCCTCAGAAGTACAAACTGAATATTCATTGAAAATAATTGTTGCGTTGAAATTTGATATTTTCCCTCTGATTTTTTGTGTAACGTGGTGCTACATCAGTAAGACATTGGGGCTATATCAGAGTGATGAATATGTCATCAGGAATTGACGCAAAGTTGAGAAATCAGAAGAAACATTTTTTTGTCAAGGGTAGTGTGAGTAATGTAAAACTGGATTTGACCTAAAAAATGCACATTAGTAATTCTATTTACAACAGTATTCTTTAGTTGTGATATTTAGATGTTAAAAGCGTATGCATTCACTCCTGTATTGTATTTTGACTAGATTCAGGTATTTAGTAATAGAATGTTAATGGTATCTGTTAAATTTCATGAAAACTTCTTTCTGCAAAATTAACTCAAGAACAGGTTATTTCAATGGTTAGTAGTTGAAAGAGATACTTTATATAGAAATGTTGTAAAGATATTGATAAAGCTATGATAAAATCTACAACAATGTCAGTGAGAATTGTTTCCAACACCTTAGGAATATTGATAAAGCCAGTATATAGTGGTTTGGTAGGCATTCATATGATGACTTCAACTTATGTTTATTTTAGGTGTGCTCAAGTCTCTTATAAGTAGGGTTTTGTTTAGATGATAATTATCATTTTATGTGAACGTTATAAAAATTTACTATGCTAGTAACAAATGTGTTCTTTAAAGTGTATGAAAAAACATGTATTTTTGTTGCAAAAACATTTATTCATAACTACCCAATGTCTTGGAGAAATAGATAAAAGATATTGTAGCCCTGATGTGATATCTATAAATGAATAAATTATTGTGGTGTTATTTAAGTGAAATGGTTTATATACATCCATTATTGTTGGTTGAGTTTGTTGGACCCTTTCAGAAACAAGATGCATGTACAAAGTGATAGGTAAACCAGTGACAGATTTCATGTCTAATGTTGTGTTAAGAATAGAAAAGCATCTCATTGTAAAGTCAATTTGAAAAGTAATTTTAGAATTTTTCTAAAAGTTACCATGTGCACAGTTCTGTTGTGGGACAGCCTGCCTTTAATTTGGATTTAGAATCAATGGGCATTTTTCAAGCAACTTGAAAAACTGAATTCTTTAATTTATTTGCACAAGGATTAGTTTAAGTGTTGGAAGTTTTTCCTGAATTTTGATTATTTTCATATATTTTCATATAATTCAGTCATTGATTTTGAGTTTTAAACATTTTTCAAAATGGAAAAATGGAAGAAAGCAAATGCTTTTGAGCTATTGTGATGATATCATATTATAACAGATGATAGAAGATCCGCTTTTATTACAAGATTTTTACATTTATAGCAACAAAAAGCTAGAAATATCAAGCTTAAATCAAACATGAAATATCGACAGAAACATTAAAAAGCATTATTCAAATTCTTATAGTAAAAACCTATTATGTAGTAGTTGTTGCATAACTGTATTGTAACAATTTTTTGTTACAAACAAGGGTGACTTTCCAATGAAACAACTATTTCCAATACTACGTAGCGTCCACAGCAAAAATCATCATGCAATGCCACTAAATCATATTGCTGTACAAACTGAATAATCAGGAATTCTAAAGCTAACTTCAGGTAAAAAAAATCATCCAGATGATACTTTATGTGATATTTTATCTTGGCATATTTTTCGCAGAAGAAATGTGAACTATAATGAAAAGTTTTTAAAATTAGAAGAATTTATTCATGAATGGTAATTTTTTTTCTTCCCAAAAACATGTTCAAGATATTATATTTTCAAATAGATTAGATTAAATAAAAGGGAGAGAGCATGCGATTAACTAATTAATCATTTGTACATATTCTAAACATCAGCACATTTTTGCCACTTGTAGTATTTCGTAGTATGTTGATACATACGTGTGTAATGCACATGATAACTGGTCACACTGTGTAGTCAGTGTTTGAATGGTTTGAGAGGGAACTCTGTTGTTTGTAAGAAAGCTGAGAGGATAAATGTACAGTACATGTATTTTGTTGGATATAGTTATTTTGTTATTGTAGATGTGTTGATAAATACATCTTGTCATCCCTCTTTATGTTGGAGTTATTATTGATAGAATGTATTTTAAAGTGTTTCTTCTCGTGTCTCCAAACCGAATCATCATCACCAAGCTTATGTATTAACGATCATGGAACCGGTTACAAAAATCCTCCAAACTGCCCTTCCAGTCATGAATGACGCTTATTAAAGTCCTTTTGTTCTTCGATGTAGGAAAGGAATGTCTGTGGAACAAGACACATTTGAAATTTTAAACAGTAAACTTGACGGTGATGGCAAACCCTGACATGCACCTGTAAGAGTACAACCCCCTGGTCAGCCATTTGTTCTGTGTATACCAAATTTCACTAAAATCTGACATTATCTGAATTCTGACCAGCCAGAAGCTTGCATTTGGCAGCTGTTTCAATGACAATGTTATTTTTAGGTAACATTTGAGAGTGTCTTACTCACAAAAACAAAAATTTATCGGTATAAAGTTATCAGCTTATCAGGAACAAGAAAATTGTTATTACATTCTTAATGGCCCGTCAACACATAAAAGATCATTAGGGCCATCAACCAGTAAAACACAGCAATGAACCAGAAAATGGTGACCACCTTGCCAAATCAGAAAATGGAAATTGTTTGTACAACTGAAACTGTATGACGGAAAGTGGAAGAAGATGAAAGAATAATAATGATAAGGATTTGGGTAAAATCAATAAGTCCACAAACTGAATTTGGGGCCTAAATTAAGTAATTTATTGAAAAACAAACTGATTTTATTATAAATGGCTTATAATAATTTCCAGAAACAATGTCCAGACATTTTTACCACACTCAAAAACAAGAAAAACGTTTCCAAGCAACAAGCATGACTTACTACTTTGATTAAAATGGAAAGTATCAAGCGACCCGAGTGGCGTTTGCTATTTCTGTCCTACATTGTCCAAAGTCTGTAGAAAGTCACTAAATAACTGACATTTTAGACAATTTTTCCAAAATTAATTTACCAACTTCAATTAAGCTTTGATAGGAATTATTTTCAGGTCACCAAAATCTCATGTTGACCTACTACTAGTATTATGATCACCTTCATCATGCATGGTGTGTAGTGCATTGTGCATCTGTTAATAATTTAACATTGGTAGCAGTACACAGTTTCTTGGTGTGGCCATGGGTGATTTTTTTGTTAATTAGATTACCCCATTATAAAGGTTTTATTTAAGATTTAAAAATTAAATCCTTGCTAAAATTGATCTTGTCATGTAAAAGTGGACAATGTGGGGTTTCATTTTTTTTCAGAATAATATTTTAGCTTTGTGTTGGAGATTACTGTTTGGGCAGTCTCGAATCTGTGTATGCACCAAAAACTAGCTTTGCAGGTAGTCAAATTTTCATAGTGTTTAGATGTGGTTATGTTGTGAAGGAGTTGGAATTTGCCGAAATGTAAGTAGTTTGTTACCATGACAGTGTTGTTGATTTTAAGACAGGTGTTCAGAAATAAATGTCTCCTATAAAGTTGTAGTGTTAGGTTGGAATTAGCAGTATTTTTTGCAATTTCAGTTTTTCAGTCGGTAACCATGGCAATCACATGTCAGAAATCAATGGAAATTTTTAAACACACAAATTTTTTCCTGCTACCATTTGCGACTTCTCCTCAAAATCTCCATATTCGATTTCAGTGAAATTTTGTAGAACCCTTCCTTGGCTGAAGATGAAACAGGATAGTGAATTATATAGTCCCTATGGCTTCGGGGTCTGAGGGGTGGGGCCAAAAGGGGTCAAATTGACTAAAATTTAAAAATTCTTCTCAATACCCAGAATCAAATGATCTGCATGGATGGAAGCATCTTCAGGTGGTTTACGAAATAGTGAATTTCATGGCCCAAGGGTATCACATTTCCCTGTGGGGATGGGGGTAAATTTTACTATAGTTTATACATTAAAAATATTTTTTCTGTAATTTCTATTGGAAATATTTCAGTCTTGGTTAGATTTATGAATAGAGGATGATGACTTGATGGTCTGTTAATATTGATCCTGGTTGACCCCCCAGGGGCTGATGGGAGGGGCCAAAGGGGGTTAAATTGTTAAAGGGTCTTGCATTTCCCTGAGGGGAGATGGTAAATTTTACCATTGTTTATATAGGAAAATTAAATTTTTGACTATAATTTGTTCAATTTTCATTGGAAATATTTCAAACTTGGTTTAAATTATGAATGGAGGATGACAGGTTGATGGTTTGCTAATAATTGATCCAGGTGAATCCCCAGGGGCTGATTGGAGAGGTCAAAAGGGGTAAAATTTACTCAGATTTCAAAAATCCTCTCAACACTCAGGTATATGGTAAAATCAAATGCTTTTCATGGATGGAAGCATTGTAAGGTGCTTACTAAAATTGTGAATTTCATGACCCCAGGGTCTCACATTTCTCTGTTGGTAGGGACTAAATTTTACTGTATTTAATATACGAAAAATAGATTGTTGAGTATATTACCCGCTGGAAATAACTGTAGGATTTAATAGTATAGGATGATAGTTTTGATGGTATGCATGTATTGACACTGGCTTACTATCATTTTTCATGACACTTTAAAGTTACTTTACCGATAACCTTTATATTCAATATTGCTTATTTCAGGTGACCTGTCAAGGCCGCTAGTCCTTTTGTTATTATTTCCTTTATTTCCTCCAACGATGAAGAGTTACAGAAATAGACGGGAAACTTTAACACCAGTTCGAAACATTGAAAAAAGAAACCCGCTCGCAGGTACTTACAGACTTACACAGATATACAAGTACATGAACATTCTGACGCATCTTTCGGATAGTCTTTCGCTCATCATGCAATGATGTGTGTATGATAGATTGAAAGAGCGAAAATTCAGCGTAAATAGTCGTACACAAACCTACCAGAAAATGCTGATGTATGATCATATTACAACAGACCACTGTATTGAAGGATTTGTGTGATGGCAATGAACGAGTTATTTCTAAAATTCTCCAGATCATCTGGAGATAAATCAGGTAGGGTTACCACCAAGAACGTGAAGTGAACGGTAATTAGACATCTGTCTTTTACCGTGCAAAGTACACGCCAGAGCTGATCACGTGATATTTCTTGTATAAACATATAACAACAATCGTGACATAATAGCATATATTATCACGCATTTCCACACTCAGTGTGACAGTTTTCTTAAATTGTAGATTAAATTGTGGAAAGTGTACAGCAAGTTTCTCTACAGCATACGGTTGAATTTTGTTATGTAAAAACATGAAGCAAGTTTCCTTGTCAAAAACGAATATAAATCCTTGAAATAAAAAACATTTCCGTTTTCAGTGCACCAAATACATGTATTTTTATCAAATCATTTGGCTCATTACTTGAAATGTATACAGTGAAAGGTAATTTGTATAAAGCAGTACATTTTCGAGGTGTAGCCGCGGTTGATATTGTTCATTAGATTACCTCATTATAAAGGCATGATGTTAAATTTTTATAATTTAATAATATCGCTTCGTTTAATGGGAAGCGAGATTGCGATATCACGATACCACGATGCGATATCACGATAGCAAGAAGTGATAACACGATAGCGCGATGCGAGACCACGACAGCGCATCATGTTATCGTGATATCGTGATATCGCATCGTGCTATTGTGATATCGCACCGTGCTATCGTAATATCGCAATCTCGCTTCCCATTAAACGAAGCGATATTACGATGTCCCATATCAGCCACCACAGATACAGAAAGTATGAATAAATTTCCAGCTATGCTTGATTTGAGTATCCGACATGAAAATGCGTTTGCCGTGGTATACGCTGTATGGCGTAAGCATTTTCCTGGTGTGATCATGGCGGCATAGACTATTTCTGTGAGTGATTATTGTTGCATAAGGTACTTTCTTGTGTCATCAGGTTGGCGTAGATTAATTCTGTGTGTGAACCATGGTGGCTTGGATAATTTTTTTGTGTGGTTATGAAGGCGAAGTCTATTCCTTGGTGTAATTATGGTGACGTAGAATACTTCTGTTTGGTATTATGATGGCGAAAGGTATTTTCTGGTGTGATCATGGTAGCGTATATTAATTCTAAATGGGATTATTGTGGCATAAAGGATTTCCTTGTGTGATCAGGTTGGCATAGATTATTTCTGTGTGTGATCGTGATGGCTTTCGGTATTTCTGTGTGTGATCGTGATGGCTTTCGGTATTTCTTGGTGTGATCGTGATGGCTTTCGGTATTTCTTGGTGTGATCTTGGTGGCGGAGATTGATTATGTATGTGATTATGATGACGTAAGGTATTTCCTGGTGTTATCATGGTGGCGTATATACACATTCGATTTCTCTTCACATCAGATTTGGGCAAGATCTGATCATTCCTACAGGAGAAGTAGTATTTTAAAGGATTTTAAAAGCTAGATGCACTTTATGTACAAAACCAAGTTCTTTTCGCCACATGATGATTCAGATCAAATCTGGACAAATTTGAATCATTCCAACACCGAAATGATTTTAAAGAGTTTGATCTTTTTCCTGTTTTGAGCGCGGGAACCCCTCCCACCCGGGAACCCTTCCCATCCATACAAATTGAACCTAAGCATAACTTCGACAAACGTAATAGAACCCAATCATCGCTATCAGTCCATGTCTACCGTTTACGCATGATCGATTCATTTTCAACCAAGAATGCTCCAAATCAAATCGAGCCAACGTCCAGGTAATCCTACAGAAGACGCAGCATTATTGGAATTTGTTCTATTTCCCCTGTTTGTCGCTTCCCTTCCTGCTAAAGGTGGTCAACACTCATCTTCTATCACCATGTAAAACATCATTCCCCTTCACCAATGAATGCTTAAGACCAAATTTGAACAAAAAAACCAATCATTCCTACAGGAGGAGTACGGTTTGAAGAATATATTCAATTTTCCCCTATTGAGCCAAGCCCTTCCTACCCCAGGGGGCCAGGATCCACCATCTACACAAGACTGATTCCCTTTCACCTAAGAATGCTGCGAACCGAATCGGAGCTTAAACATTCATTTCTAAAGGCGGAGTGGGATTTTGAAGTATCCGCCCTCCTTGCAAAATCCGATCATTCCTACAGGGACAGTATGTTTAAAAAAAAAATGCTTGAATTCTTCTTTAGGGTCCCTCCCCTCCCGCGCCAGTGGGTTGAGACCCAACATTCATAAAAAAAATATTCCTCTTCACCAAAGATTGCTTCAGACAAAATTTGGGCAAAATCCAATCCTTCTCTAAGGAGGATAAGATTTTTACAGAATTTACTCTATTTCCCCTGTTGGACCCGGACCCTTCTAGGTCCACCCTTTATACAAAATTTATTTCCCTTCATGCGAGAATGCTTTACTTACTTTAAGCAAAATTAAATCACTTCTACAGGAAAAAAAAGGAATTGGATTTTAACAATCATTAATTGCTATCGCTTTTTTGGGTTGATCATTCTCAAATTTCATATGTAGGTTCCCTATGTCCCTAGTAGTGCATTGTCCATTTTCAGTCGATCAGATAATCCAATTGACGGGTAAGGGTCCGTTTTGGATTTTACTGTGGACATTTCGTCATTGCTATTTCTTGAAAGTCACTTGATGGATTAATAGTATTTTCGAATTCCACATGAAGAAGAACATAAAAGACGAAGTAAGATAAAAAAGCAACTATCCAAGTTACAAAGAATTGATATAAAGATCATATTATGGTGGGCGCCAAAGTCCGTAAGGAACATCCTGTCGAACATTGAATATGCTTTTAATAGCAGAATGACGTTGTCAGTATACTCCTTACTACTGTAGTTACTATTATTTACTGTTGGGGTTACTCAACTGTGACGGTGCATTTATACACCTGTAATGCATGTGCTGTTCCCAGGGTAAGTCAGAAAACTGGTTAGAATGCATGTGCCAGGTATTTTGTTATGTACCCTAGGTGGGGTTGGACAGTACCAGACAGAACTTCGACGGTGGAGGTTGTGTTAGGCTGGGCTCAATGTATTGCCAGAGTACTATTGGGAGGGCTGTGTGCCTACTTCCAGATGATGTTGGCTTTTGGGGAGTCTAGGAGTGGTGTCTGTCCAGTATGACAATTTTATTAGCTGGTTGCTAATGGTTGTGTGCCTGTAAATATTCTTTTCTAAGCTGTGTGCTTCGAAGCTGTGTTTGTCCAGGACTGTGTGTCCAAGCGGCTGTGTGCTATGTCTTTGTAAAATAGGACTCTCCTTGGGGCTGTGTGCCATATTTCTGTAGGAGTGTTCCGGATGAAGCTACCTAGGAGTTGATGTAACCTCGTAATGTTGTACTGAATTTACTTAGGCCTCCTTGGAGAACAGTATGACCTTGTGTTGACCTTGCCCGGGTTGAGGAGACCATTTATACTGTGACCTCTATAAACGAAAGAGGATGGAGTTCCAAGTGTAAACCGGATTATGAACTGTCTTCACGGAGAAAAGACTGACACATATCGCGTCATCAATTTTATGTTCCGTGTATAGGTACAGTTTAGCATATCTGAGAATAGGGGCTTTAGTGTCTTTGGGAGCTAAGGTATGAGAGGTAGTGACGTGTGCGACGTGGATATTAGTGTTTTCTGTAAATGTGTTATTTTGTTTGGTTTGTAAATAAATGAGTATATTTTTAGCATATCTTAGTGGGTTTGCTAGTTTTCACCAATTTGGACATCCTTACGTTACCACACCTTGTGACAGTCGTAAATACACCTGGAAATGTTATAAACTTTATAAAAAAAACGGATGATTTTCACACTAAGTATGATATGAGTATTGAATTCCATCGCTTTTCAGTTAAAATAGGTAATTTGTCACGGCTTGTTTAACGCCATCTTTCAGAGCCGCAAACAACACCAGATAATCCGATTTATTGATTGTAAAAGACTAAAAGTCGATTTTCCAAAACCTCCAGTGATTAATAGATCATAGTTAATTTTATCCGATCAATTAGATATTAACGAAATATGTTACACATAGATAAGTGAACGGCACCTTTAAATACAAAAGAGACGGTAGAGCCAAACTAACGATCAAACTGTGACATACAGCTGTTTGGTACTTCTAGAACTCGTTAGTGATGATATACTGAAACCCCGAGACATTTAGATAGGACAGTGTAATGTATGAACCATTATAAGTTATTTTATAAAGTTATTTAGTTTTAAATACGAACAAATATAATCAATAATCAACAATATACTCTCCTCTTGGAAGAGGCATTTAGCATATATCAACATTTTATAATTTCTATAATTTAATGGAGAGTTCCCATGTGATTTCACACTGGCTTTGACATGTAAATTATAATTCTACCATTATGTCAGAGTGGGACTTATTATATTTTTTCCGTTACGCACATGACATATTTATATCATCACTTTACAATACAAATTTACATATATACAATGGATTGGAAACATCTGATGAAGATATAATACCGAGAAGAAGGGAAATAATCTACGTTTCCTGACATTAAAACTTTTCACTACAACATAAACCTTGAACTTTTTTGTGACACTTCATTTTATCGATATATTCACAGCCTAGTAATGTGCGAGGAATCATGCTTGATAGAAAAGATGGTGGTACATCAGAGCCAAGTATTCATAAACCTTTTCATCGTTAAAACTACAAGCACGTAATGAAAAAATTTGTTTACGACTATTTTTCAAGATCCTGTTTTTTACCTCGAACTCGGTGAATGGAACTTTTTTGAAACTAGAAACTTGGCTTTATTGATTGTATTGGCTGTTAAGCAATGAATATATAGACAAGTTTATACAAGTATTATGTATTTATGTCCATTATTAATAAGTAACCGTTCTTTAACCGGGTAATTACAATACTTCATCTTTACGATTTAACAAAAATGTTTTAATAACAAGTTTTACCAGACCAGACTGATGTAATTGTGTATTTTTGACGCATTATCTTGAATTTTTTTTATTCAAGTTTTGACGCTTTATCTTCAAATTTTAAAAATTGTGCTGTTTGATACATTATCATGTTCAGAGAGTACCAAATCAATTATGTTTCTTAAACATGTTCAAACATAACTATTGTTTAGAAATTATATGGAGAGTTTCACCTATGTGATATTACACGGGGATTAAAATGTTTAAACTCTACCATTTCATGTCAGAGTCCAAGTCAGTGACGTGGTTGTACACGCACAATATCTGTTTAAAACAATTTTGTCACTCCTAAGACATATAACATAAATACATACTTCTATTCGGATGAAACATTCCTGAAACATTTATATTTCAATAACTTAATGATCAGGAACATTCTGATTTTATTTCATGATCTCATCAGTAGTACTTGTCATGGCCTTATAGTGAGCGTGACGTCATGGCTTAGTTTAACAGACGGTGGTACGTCTTAACTAGGTATATTTATACATTTTTCATTAATTCATTGTAACACAGCACATTGAAAGCATTTCTTGATTATTGAACTTTACCGAAGTCAAGCGATAGTTTTTTTTCTACATGTTTAAACACAAATGTAAAACCCGAATTACTCATAAGTCATTCCTTTTGTACAAGTATTGTCACGTCTTACTTTCCAGTTGATTTTCGTCCTTTAGCAAAGTGGACATCTTTGCCAACCACAAATAGGCTTCACGTTCTAACTATTTTCTTTATGACAAAGTGACGTAATAAACCCATTTTACTGTATATTATTCTGTTGTCCTGGTATGATGCTAAATCATATGTAATTTGAAACCATCCAATTACAAAGGGACGAAATGAGCCATTATCGGTTATTTTAGCAGCTTTTGTGATATATTCCATCCATACTTATTTTTAATGTTATATAGAAATGACTTTTTACAGTTTTAATAATGACTGGGTATGTTATACGGATGCTGCACGTATCTTGATAAATCCGTTAATCTAGTGACTATAAATATCCTACTTTTTATCATCCAATTCGTCTCTAGAAAGTATGACGATATTGCGATTTTTTTCTATTTCTGGATAGCAACATTCCTGCATCCAAAATCTTCAAGTGCATGTTCCCATTATGAGAATTTTTGTAGGTAAACTATTGTAAATTTTGCCCTCTCTATACAATGAAATGTGAGACCTTGGGGTCATGAAATTCAACACTTTGGAAAAAAACACTCTATCCATGAAGATTTATTTATCATAGCAAAGAAGGGTTTTGAAAAGATTCTTTTGAAATTTCTGTCAATGAGGCCTTTTATGCCCCATCCTACAGGGTCCTAGGAGTTGAGGACCATATAAATTACACTACCGGTTAGAGATGGGATGAAACTGGACAAAAGGAAATTGCAATAGGTCACCATGAATTTTCATCTCAAGTGACCTAAAAAGGAAATAAAACTACTGATACACCTGTTTTTTCAGTTTTTGTTTTATTTAACATTTCATAAGCATGGGGCACCAGCAAACAAATATTTACTTGATGTATCATAGTCTGTCATATTCCTAGTGTTGGAAGGATATATGTCATGAAATAATTTCCACTGGCAAGTAATTTCTGTGTAATATTATGTGACATCATTATTGTTTAAAATTTATTACAACAAAAATTACAAATTGTTGCAAAGTGTAGAGTCAAAAATCAAAGAAATTCTCTATTTGTAAATGAAACTTTTCTGTCAATGTTTGTAGCAGAACAGGTAGATAGAATCCAATCAAATGCACTATGTCAGTGACAAAAGTCTCTTTCTGATGACGTAAAGGGCTGTGATCAATTTCCTGTCTACAATTCATCATCCATATCCATGTTTTCTTCCTTAATAACTTGTACCATTTTCTTCTCAAGAAGTTTACTCTTCGCTATAAAAAAAAAAAAAAGAAAAAGGCATAAGATTCTGTAACAAATCAGACTTATTTTCAAAAATAAAATTTCAACCATGCCTAGAGCAAACAGTGGTGGTAACAACTCTATTGAACTTTCAGTAACTTTTGACATAATACATAAACATGATATTTTTACACAAAAATAGGATCTTGCCTTACTTTCCATTTCCATAGGAGATATATATATATATATATATATAAAGTTGAAGAAGTTTTAATCTTTATAAACTCTTATTGGGCATTAATTAAAACTACTGCAAGTTTTCTATATTTCATATAAAATAAAAACTTGTGTAAGGTCCTTGTAATCTTACAAGCAAAATGGATATGAAAAAAGAAATTCAAGCATGGAAATAATGCTTTTTTGTCATGTTGGCTTTAAATCTAAAGTTACTTCATTGTCATTCCATAAAAATGCATCAGGTCAGACACAAATTCATGCAATGATTAACATGAAAATCAGGTGAAAATTTGGTAAGATTAAAAATACTTCCTTACATTGTACCTACCTTTTGTAACCTAGGTTTTGGTGATGTATTTACCTACCTTTTGTAACCTAGGTTTTGGTGATGTATTTACCTACCTTTAGTACCCTCAGTTTTGGTGATATATTTACCCACCTTTAGTACCCTCAGTTTTGGTGATATATTTACCTACCTTTTGTAACCTAGGTTTTGGTGATGTATTTACCCACCTTTAGTATCCTCAGTTTTGGTGATATATTTACCTACCTTTTGTAACCTAGGTTTTGGTGATGTATTTACCAACCCTTAGTACCCTCAGTTTTGCTGATATGTTTACCTACTTTTTGTAACCTAAGTTTTGGTGACTTTATTTTCCTACCTTTTGTATTAAAGGTGTTGGTGATTATATTTATCTTCACAAGTCTTCAGCAAATTTCACTAAAAGTCAGACACACTGTTTTATCAGACAATTCAGTTTGAAAGCCTTACCTGCTGGTGAACGAATGAGGTGAATATTCTTCTCCACTTCTTTGATGTCATTGGCCTTCTCCAGTGCTTTTCCTTTCTTTAATCTAAAAATGACAATATAAATGGTTTGTTTTAGCAATGTAATAATTCAGTACACTCCAACATTAGTAAAGAAAGACTACAATAATACACAAATGAATATATCACAGTCAAAATTTAAAGTTGTACAGAATTTTATGTAAAACAAAAACATGTAGCACAGCTATCTACTTTAATTACACACAGCACTGTAACTACACAAGAGACTCTGAACTGATCTAAGATTACAATGTTACAACAGTATATAAGCCCTGAAAATGACATTCTAGTTTCTTTATATTTATGCTAGTCTCTCCCAAAAACTAATGTTATTCTTTTAGCAGAACTGGTGATTTTCCTTGGTAGTATGAACAATGAGAAGAAATGGTCTTTTCAGATTGACTTAGCGTCATGATCAGAAATTTTGACAAAAACTTTCAACAGGACAATTGTATTTCTAGCAGTCAAGTTAATATGTTGATTAATTATTACATCTTTAATGATTATTCTGATTGTTTTATTGATATTGCGACAAAATGAAAATATACCCACATTCAAAGGGTGATAACTCTTACAATAACACTACGGAAAAGTGTCCAACATTCAGAAGAGACACAAATCAGAGATTTTTTTCTTTCAAATTCATTTCCATGTGGAATAATTAAACACATTAAATGTAAACATTTGAATAGTAAATGTTTTAGTAAATATAAATTCCATTTCTCTTAACTGCCATGTTTATTCTATTTTCATGGAAAGTAGATGATTATGAACCAAAACCTCCATGGTAACAATGGTTAATATCCTTTAAATAGCTGTTGTCATGATAATATGACTACTCTCATTTACAAATAGATTCAATGCTCAGATACTTTGCTTTAATACTGATAATAAAAAGATAAAAAAAAGTAAAAATTTTCAACTCATTGTCACAAGAATAATAATTGTTACTTTTTTGTTTCATTAAACTGTAATAATGAGAAGAATAAAATCATGACATTGAACAATATTCTTTTAGGATATATATATATATAAATTTTCACGTAAGGATTTACACAATTGATGAATGATGTTTCTAGAGTTTCAACAAAGAAATCCAAAGCACCATTTTGGAAATTTTGACGAGTCCAGTTGCAAAGAGTTATATCGGGTTCAAATTTTAGTAGAGTTCCACAGGACAAGCATGAAACCAGAACTCAAATATTTGTGTCCAAAAAAACCATTGGGTTTGATTACATTTGTATGTGCACCAATTTGACTTACCTATTTATAATATGCTGGTTCTGTCTTTTTATCCTAATTTCTTCAATTCTCTTCATTGCCTTCACTGTGAATAAATAAATATAAATAAATGTACTTCTTTCAGGACTATATATATGTAAATTTCAATTTCAAATGTCACCTTATACTTTATATTTTATTTATGTAACTTTCATAGTAGTTATAAATTAGCTCTTGAATTACTATGTAAACTATTTCCTACAAATACTGCAATTGGACATGGTTACAATTTAATTTATCAAGAATCAAAAATGAAAGTATGAAAGTCCAATACATTTTCATAGTGGTGGGTCATTGGTTGCAGAGATAATTAATTCATTAGTTGAAATTGGTGGATCCTTCTGTTGCAATTTTGCTGATTATAATAAATTCAATAATTGTCATTTTCAGTAACCTTGTCTTACAATTATTCTTTTTGTTTGTGCTGTATTATTCCCTTTTAGTGTCAAAGCCATTAAATTTTGTAAACTATGTGTTCACACTCATTTTCTAGCATATTTACATTGGTTATCATTATATGGAATCTCTCCAGAATTGTGGTTGTTAATCTACCATTGCCACCAGTCCTGAGAGAATTTTTAGTCAGGTTTACAATTACAGCTCTAGGGAAATTCCCCATAGAGGCAACTACGGTAAATATGCTGGAAAATAAAGTTGTTTGGGGAAACTAGTACATGAATTCTTGGGGTGCAGAAGTTACAAAAACATATTGATAAACTGAAAAATCACCTGTTGTAGTCCATAATTCTCTGTCATATTTAACGGGCACATTTCTTCTCTTTTCAAACTCAAATGAGGGGTCCACAGCCAAGTCTTTTCCAGCAGCCTTTCGGAAGGCCTTAGTCCATTTTGTCTTTCTTGGGTTACGCTTTTTCTTAAAGGCTTTGTGGCATTTTGACCTGCAGAATCGAAATACCTGCAAACAAAATAAATTTTTTGTCATCTATTGCGCTCACAATTTTGAACCCTTTTTTCAAAGCCTTTATTGGAAAAAGAAGAGAAAATCAAAAATATCAATGTTTTATAGAATGTACAGGTCCAACTGAGCATCCCCAAATTATTTTAACTGTGTGCACTTATACTTTTATACGGCTCTTGGTGCCATTGACAGAGAAACAAAACAACAACAAACAGATAAAAAATGACAGAAAAATTGTTTTCAGTTAGATCTGACCAGATATGTATACATAATATCAATAATGTTATTTGATGGCTGTTTATACATATATATATAAATATTAATACATGGCCTCCATCTACCCAAACAAAATGTGTCAAAACAAGTAATGCTATCAGAGCTTAAGTGATATTGTAGCTACATATAGGTTGGATAATGAAGACCAGCTGCTGAACGTTTGACACACTTGGGGATAAAGTACGCTCAATCATGGATGTGTATTTCTATAAGCTGCACTATGTCGAAAGGATGCTTAATATCATATTAAACGATGAGACATACTCGGTCATATATTTTATATGGCTTAATCTGCTTGTGTTCACGTTCAAACATTTAACAAGCAAATTAGGTCGTCTGGAGACATTCCAGATTCTGTAATATGTAATTATACTTACTAATTAGTATAATTTGACAAATGCACCAATCTCTATACACATCAAGCTCGTGTGAATGGTGAGACAGAAGAAACCAATATTAGTATATGCCTATGTCAACATATAGGCATGACAGCGAATCTAGAATTCTGAGTAATCGGATGTAAAATCTCCCAGACACAGCCATTACTTAGTCTCAAATAATAGTTGTCAAAATTGATCTCAAAGATATCAATATTAACTTCAGTTTAATCATACCTTACAGTCGTTTCTTACAAAATGGACACCGTGCCCCGGATACACTGTAGACGAACAAAAATAACATTTTTCTAGCCTCATGTTTACAAGTTGTGTTCTTTCACCACCATGCTGTTTTTAAAAGGAAGTGACGTCACTTGCGCGTTAGGTCTCAACATTGATGATTTAAGTATGTGTGCATCAGGTGAACAAGTTCAATGTATATTAGAGTTTATGAATAGCAGCACACATGATGAGTATAATGAAATGTTACGGAAGGGGTTTTAGTTGATAAAAAATAATAAAAATGATGATGATGATAAGAATAATAATAATAAAAAAGACAACAAAGCAAAAACCGTGCAAAGAATAGCAAAAACTGTGCAAAGAGAGATAACTCTCACATTTAAAGGCGTAAAAGGTTGCAGTTGAAATCATCAACGGTAATTTGTATCAATTTGATGGTACATTTTTTAGCCAACTTGTGTAATCAAATTACAGTGTCCAAGCATGACTTCAAGAGTCAAGAAGCTAGATTTAAAGTCGCATATGATAAACAATAAAATATTATTACAGCATAGTGTTATTATTGTGACAAACGTAAATATAAAACATAACATTATATGTGTTATAGCAGAGACGTATATATCATGTGATATATACGTCTCTGGTTATAGTAAGATTTTGAAATGAGGGATTTCACGAAATCACTAAAATCTTAAAGAATTTTCTGTAATTACAGAAAAAGTAGTGTTGTATGACACATATTTGCTAGACCCCTTTTTAGGAATATTGTGAAACAGATATTCACTGAACACTTTTTAAACATTTTAAACATATGTTACAGCAAGATTATTAAAATTGGTATAAGCAGAATCCTTTCACCGCTTTGATCTCCCTTTGAATATTACTGACAAGGCTTGTGATCTGCCAATTAAGTAAGGCAGGCCCGGATTACCATGATTTCTTTGATCTCCCTTTGAATATTAATCACAAGGCTTTGCAAGCTACTTAATGAGGATCAAGTGCAACTGAGCAGTTAATTGCATAATTGTGAATTGTTTAACGACCGAACGTTTAAACTTGACGATGATGAATAATTCTGAACGAGGATCTAGTGAGGTTCGGCAGTTAATTGCATATCGATTGTCATTACAAGGTCCAGTGGTTAAAGATTAAAGCAGACCAATTAACAATTAATGGCTTTATTATACGTGTGTAAGGCAGACTGGGTTACTCTTCTCTGTAATCTTTATCACAATGGCATATCCTAGCTTTGAGACGCAATTTAGGGCGAAGTCATTTGACAAATACTCTCAGTGTCAAAGCCACGTAATCACTACTATATTCTGAAGAAGTATGAAGGTCTTCAGTGTGGCGATGTTGGAAAACTTATCAAAAAGGGGAAGTCACCAGAAGAACGCCCTACGTACTATGCTTCCATACAAGATACATCATCAGCAAAACCCACAATGCAACGGGCCATGGTGGTCGTGATAGGATGGTGAAATACTTTGGGCAGAAGCACGCCAACATCACAGCAGATGCTGTGGAACTGTCCTACTGTCTTTTGTGTCAAGAGAAGCGGAAACGTCCAAAGACTACAGGTGTTGTTGTGAAACCTATTTTGTCTATAGGAATTTAACTCTCGAGCTCAAGTGGATCTTATTGAGATGCAGTCTTCCCCACAAGGCCAGTTCAAGTGGATCATGGTTTACCAGTAGTGCCACCTCACAAAATCTATCATCCTGAGGTAAATATTTTCCAATAATGCGGCAGAAGTCGCCTTTCAACGACTGAGCATTTTTCTCCTCTTCGGTGCAACTGCCATCCTTCAGAGCGACAACGGCTCAAAATGCACAGCACATACCATCGCGGAGCTCAAAGAGTTGTAGCCTTAACTCATCATAGCCTAGACACTCCCGAAGCCAAGGCTCTCTTGAAAGAGCAAATATCGACATTAAAGATATTCTGAACCACCGCCGTCGACCATTACCACCACTGAACCACCGCCTTCGACCACTTGTACCACTACTGAACAACCGTCTTCGACAACTACCACCACTGAACAACCGCCTTCGACAATTACCACCATAGAACAACCGCCTTCGACTACTACCACCACTGAACCACCGCCTTCGACCATTGCCACAACTGAACCACTGTCTTCGACCATTGCCACAACTGAACCACTGACTTCGACCACTATCACCACTGAACCACCACCTTCGACCACTACCACCACTGAACCACCGTTCACTTCTTCATCCCTTGACAGACGGCTTCAAGATATCATCCATCAGCGTAAAAGAGCACGAGCGGCTCAGCTAGGCCAGGGAGAAAGGATGGTGAGGCGCTCCCGTATTGACATAAAGACGGGTGAAGCTGGAGATAATGTTGCCGTATCCATTCCCATGGTGGACAGAGGTAGAGGCGACCCAAGAAATATCCCTGAAGTAATTGTTGATCGGGATGAAAATGACATGTACAGAATTGCGGTGAAAGCTGGTGTTTTGAAAGTTAAGTATGCCAGGAATCAGTTTGATCTCTGTCCACAGCGACTATTGAATGACTATGATGCTAATAGGAAAGTACAACCACACTTCGTCAGGCTATTAAATCTACAGCTTCTGGTGGACAGGGATTCTTTCATTGTGATTGCAGCAAAGGCAAGAAACAGTGCCAGACAAACAGGTTCAAGTACTGTAAAGCAAAGAGATTTTGTAATAGTATATGTCATAATAGCTTTACTTGTCAACTTAAAGATAAACAAGCCTATTTCAAGTTGTCCGTTGTTTTTTTTTATCATGATGATCAGTTGTGTTGTACATTACTAATATATAAGAGTAATGAATGAAGTATATAAAAAAAACATTTTTGCCACAATTTCACGCAAAGGACATCCAGGGATTTCCTGAAATAACTGACGCATCATTCCAATAATTACAGGAAATCCCTAAAAAATTTAGTAATTTCGTGAAAATAGTGTAACATATATAACATTAATGTTCACTATTTATGTAATGAAAAAATACCACAGGCACAAAGAGTTTTTTTTAAGTGTTTCATGATAAATAATGGACATTTGTATATCACACAACTGTTACCAATAAGACGATTTATAATAGATAGCATAGGTAGTGAAAAAACAACCAACAAGTACACTTCCAAAGGGGAATAACTCACACAGCATGGTGTGGGCAGATGACACGGGAACAGACCTGGGTATTCCAGGTACTGAACAGTCCCTGGAAAGACTCACAATTCTGAGCTAACCTTAGATCGTATGGCAGACTGTTCCATACCTGAGAGGATCTCTTCCCATAAGTGGAGACAGTCACCCTCGGAATTCTAACAAGATTGTTTTGTCTAAAATTGTAAAAACAACCTTCTTTCCTCTCAATAAAGCCTTGTAAAACAGTTGGCGAAATACCATTTAAAATCTCAAAAACCTCAGCGGCCATGTATTTAATACGGTTAACTTGTAGAAAATCAAATTTCAATCTTTTTAAAATATCGCTAACTGGAGAAATATAGTTATTTTCGATCAAACGAAGTGCTCTTGTACCAGTTCCCCCCCTACTGTTTGTAAGGGCACAAAATTGCCTGGCTAATGGGCAATAATTAAAATTTGACAAATTGAAGACATAAAAAAAAAGTTGGTAAGATTTCCCCCTGGTCGTTTTAAAACAGCAAGTTGTTTGGACGCATTTCTACAAAGACGAGAGATGTTAAAATCAAATCTATGTAAAAAGTTGATATAATTTCACTCAAGTTTTGATAAATGCAGTAAAAGGCCTTGGACAGATCCATCAGAATCGCACCAACATGTTGATGATAATCCAAGACCCACATCTAATCCTCAAGGGCTCGAAACATGACAGACAGACAGACACCCACTCCTGAAAGCTGCCAGGAAATGACTAAAAATAGCTTTAAAATTACTAAACTTGTCATGCATGATTCTTTCAAATATTTTTGACATAAGAGGTAAAATACTGACAGGTCTAAAATAGCTTTTCTTAAAAATAGGTAAAACCTGTACTTCTATTTCAGTTCGTCAGGAAAGCAAGAACCTGACACACAGTGATTTAAAAGTGATGTTATGAGAAGTGTAAACGATTCTGTACCAGCTTTTAAAATCTTAGCCGAGAAACTATAAAAAAAACTGTATTTTTTTTCAAATTAAGTGCTGAGAACAACTTTCTTACCTCTTTACACATTTCAAGAGACTTCAAGAGATATTTTAATGTCATTGTTTATCGATATTTTATCGTCGACAAATTCTTAGTTTAGAACCATTGATAATCCAAAGTAGATTAATGTGTTGGCAGATTTCGATTTAAATTTAAGTCTATATTTTTGCAAAAGTGGGCAAAACATTACCTTTATACAAAATGCTGCATTTCAAGACGTAGACGGTGATGGCACTTTACACTGTCTTTACAAAAGTGGTGTCTAGTCCTGGCCTTAAAGTTGACAAGTGTCTGTGGCTTTGCCACCATGTAAAGTCTATCTAAATTACACAAGTGTGTATGATAGTATTGTTTATTTGGCATACATGTATGTATGTTACTATTTAATCACACCATTTATTTCTTTTGACAAAATTTGCTTTATAGATCTTAGTGCAAATGCATGCACATATGTTGCAATATATTTGTAACCAGTACTTTTCAATTTAATCCCACGCTATAAATGCTTCAGTCGTATTTTCTTGTTAACTCACTAAAAAGTAACTGCAAAACATGTCTTTGAAGAAATAATAATTATTTGTGTATACATGTATAAATAATTATTTGTGTATACATGTATATATATGTATTATGGTTGGAGTCTGGTGTAGAGGGTCGAAAAATCGAGCCTGTACCAGAAATAAACTTAACTTAACTTAATAGTATCTTCATCGACAAGTTTCTTCTTCTGTCGCCTCATGCCTTTCTTTTCATACAAAAAAAAATCTTTAAATTGTCCAGTAGATACATGTGTAAAATTGGATCACTATGTTTGGCTTGTTATGTGTGCATTAACCTGTTGAAATTCTCTTAGTGAAAATGTATTTACTCGGTCCGTCTCTATAATCTAAATCACTTAATCTACCAGCCTCACTTTCCTCCATGGTTTTATTTCGGAATCGTTTTCACATTATATCTCTCAGAAATGGTGAACATTAACCCATCATTATATACACTGTGCTTTTCAACAATTTTACAGTTACTATGAGACTGCACGTGTATTTGGTGGACATGGCGGGAAAGTGCACTCGCGATCAAATCACGGGTGAATGCGCGTGTTACTGAAAAGGATATGACTGAGTCGGGGAAACTGTACACTTCCTCTGTTATAATTTACCAATGATTAACACAGCTATACAAAGGAATTGATTAAATCACCTGACGTTATCTATCTGTCGAGGTAAGCAGTTTATTATAGCGCGTGTGAGTTATATTGCTAACAACATCGATAACACTCCGAAGTTAATTATCACAGCTAGTCTATATTTTGAGTGCACCATGGTGACCTTGGCCTTTTTAGAATGTGTTTCAGATATGCGGACGTGTCTAATGATAATCAACATTTCATTAGCTTTTTCCATGCCCCAAATATTACATATTTAAATACCTCGTAGTATGTACACACTAAAAATGCACTGGAAAGTGTTCAATTAGCTTTTTTGAGCCATTTATGGAAAAAATAATGTTGCTATTACTTATGATATGATAAGCCGACCTGCCAAATTTTATTATTCAAAAGAAAATAACAGGAAAAAAAAAAGGAAAGAAGGAAATATATTTAATTTATAAAGAGCATATAAAGATGATGTGATGGTGGGTGTTAGCAGCCCACAAGTATCATATCATTATTATCATAAGATTGTACATGTATTTGTGTATGCATTATTTACATACCTGTCTGAGTCAGTAAAAAGTGACACATAGATGTGATGATATAACGATAAAAACAAGTAATCAAGTGACAATTAAATAGTGTGTATTATATTGTAAAAACTGAACTGTCTTTTCTGATTGTTTATTTTCCCCACATATTCAACTAGCACAACATGAGTATACCTGATTGAAATCACAAGAATTATATTTGTATGTATTTTAATTTCAGTTTTGAATTTTATGTATGCAGTTGACTGCCCTGTAATTAACTGTTAGTGTCTAGTGTCTGTTTTCTCTGTGTAGATCGATGGAGAGGTTTGTGCTGCTTTTTCTGTGTCTCTGCGAGTGTGTTGGTAAGTGTGACACATTTTGCATCACATTTGTCATCGGAACAACTTGTTCTTTCCTAAAATTTTGAAAATTCATGACCATGAAGCCAGACAAGGGAAATTGTCAATACTTGTCAAACACCACTTACATAAAATTGTGAATTATGATTCATTGTTTTCAAGAATTCTCTGATTGATGATAAATGTAATTTAACTTTTTTTTCGTTTGTACTCAAAAATTTAATTGTTGATATCCTTAAACTGGACTAGAAATAATACAGGTACTGTATAACAAGAATCAAGTGTTTAATGTATAATGTGGAATAAAACCCCTGTGGAGACTGAATTTCAATACGTGAATATTTCGCAGGATTATTCTTTATTGTAGCCCATTTTGTCGAGCATGGTAACAATTCTAAAATGTTCGATGTTATAGGAATTGTAAGCAGCTTGATATATGTTGGTGCAACCCTTGACCCCGGACTTGGGGTCCTAAGTGGAGGGGCAGGGTACTACATGCTGGACGGACTGACCCTTTCAGCTGGAACCATCCTGGGCTTGGAGTACTTTGTTGACCGGAGCTCTCAGTGGTCACCATTCACACTGACCATATTTCGTCCAATCGGTAACTCTGCCAATACGACCCAGTACGAGATCATTGGCATATACCCCATCATACCACCACCTGTGGTAGTTACTGGGATAGCTGGAGTACGTGTACAGTCGAAATATCTCCCTCGTCCCACTTCATAATAAAACAGAAACACATGAATTACAGAAATTAAACATATTCTGACAATGTTAAAAAAAAAAAATAAAAAAAATAAGAACAAAAATAATGACCTTATTACCATTCACATGCAGATACTGATCAGAGATTTAGGAATACATTATTTTGGTCAGTACCTACAAATAATTGTGCTTATTTATTAGTGAGTGCATAGTGTACTTTCCTTATTCAAGGAATGACAGCTCTGGACAAAGATTTATCTAAATCTCCTATTAGAGGGATTGATTCCTGTGACATGATAACACTACTGATAAAAGTCACTAGAAATCATTAATATTGTTTTAGATATACATTGTAAGTATGTATAAAGTTTACCTTCTTTTAGCTTCCGATTAGTAAGTGCCTAGTGTATACGTCCACATTTCGGTCTCCTTGTACATTTTAACCTCTAACATGAAACTCATTTTACTCAAATTCGTGATCAGGTTATTAAGTTCCGATTTCTGGATGTCACTTTTAATGTTTCATATAATGTGTGTGTATTTTCACTGCAGCAAAACTTCAGTAGTGCTGACTATATAGAGGTGACTGAAGGTGACCACATCGCCTTCTACAATCAGCTCCAAGACATGTCCATCACAGCCCAGTTTGATGCCACTTCCAACTTGAGCACTCGATTCTCTGTGCCAGCAAACCCAATTCCTGCTGTAGGGGACACTATAACCATTGAGAGAGTGGGGCTTGGTCCAACTTTCTTCTCACTTCGAGTGTTGATGGAGGAATGTAGGTTTTACAATGATACACACAGAATGAAAGTATATAGCATGGTCTATTGTTTAATCATATTGGAACTTTTAACTCTAAGGTGGATGTGAAATGGTTTTACAACTGATTAAGGGCACTGCCTGTTCTATATTGCTTGTTGCCAGACTTCCTATTTAGCTGTTTTGTGTTTTACTGATAATAAGTCGCATTTCCTACAAAAAACGTTTTCCTTCTTGATGGCCTCAAATCCAAGATTACCATATTATCATTTTGATATATAGGTCACTGTGACCTTTTTAATTTGACCTTGATTTGCTCTTAAATACATTATATGTTCACTTTCGTATTTGTATTAAAGCCACCAACATCGTAACCACGTGCCAGGGAGGAGGTTTCAGCATATGTGACCAGTTGTGCACTGATGACGTCACTGGATACTTCTGCAGTTGTGGTGTCTTTTACCAGCTGGACCCAACAGACAATGCCACGTGCGGTATCTGAAATTTCATTTTGACAGCTGCTTTTCTCTGCTTTCCCTGCTTTGTTCACTATAACTTCAGCTCAGAATTAAAACTATGTTGATGTACATGCCCGAAAATGACTAGGTCGTGCAATTGAGGGAAAAAGGTAGTATCATTTAAGAAAATTGCTGTTCTAAATTCAACTTAACAAGTATCCTACATTAATTCAATCAATACACATTAACAACACCTAAATCGGTCAAATACATCATACTTTCAACTTCTACTTCTGTTACTCTTTGTTGGCTGTAATTTTCATACTCCTCTGCTTTATTTTCAGTACCAATTCAACGCACATGTGCAAATGAGGGAGATAGTTATTGTAGTCACAATTGTACAGACACAAGTACAGGTTATGTGTGTACTTGTCGTTCAGGATTTACACTTCAGACTAATGGATATTCGTGTTTGGGTAAGTGTGTCTTTACACTTCAAAGCACTGGTAATTTGTGTGGGTAAGTGTGTCTGAACGCTTCAGAGTAATGGATATTTGTGTGTGGGTAAGTGTGTGTGGACCCTTCAGAGTAATGGATATTTGTGTGTGGACCCTTCAGAGTAATGGATATTTGTGTGTGGGTAAGTGTGTCTGGACCCTTCAGAGTAATGGATATTTGTGTGTGGGTAAGTGTGTCTGAACCCTTCAGAGTAATGGATATTTGTGTGTGGGTAAGTGTGTGTGGACCGTTCAGAGTAATGGATATTTGTGTGTGGGTAAGTGTGTGGACCCTTCAGAGTAATGGATATTTGTGTGTGGGTCAGTGTGTGTGGACCCTTCAGAGTAATGGATATTTGTGTGTGGGTAAGTGTGTCTGAACCCTTCAGAGTAATGGATATTTGTGTGTGGGTAAGTGTGTGTGGACCCTTCAGAGTAATGGATATTTGTGTGTGGGTAAGTGTGTCTGGACCCTTCAGAATAATGGATATTTGTGTGTGTGTAAGTGTGTCTGAACCCTTCAGAGTAATGGATATTTGTGTGTGTGTAAGTGTGTCTGAACCCTTCAGAGTAATGGATATTTGTGTGTGGGTAAGTGTGTGGACCCTTCAGAGTAATGGATATTTGTGTGTGGGTCAGTGTGTGTGGACCCTTCAGAGTAATGGATATTTGTGTGTGGGTAAGTGTGTCTGAACCCTTCAGAGTAATGGATATTTGTGTGTGGGTAAGTGTGTGTGGACCCTTCAGAGTAATGGATTTTTGTGTGTGGGTAAGTGTGTCTGAACCCTTCAGAGTAATGGATATTTGTGTGTGGGTAAGTGTGTGGACCCTTCAGAGTAATGGATATTTGTGTGTGGGTAAGTGTGTCTGGACCGTTCAGAGTAATGGATATTTGTGTGTGGGTAAGTGTGTGGACCCTTCAGAGTAATGGATATTTGTGTGTGGGTAAGTGTGTGTGGACCCTTCAGAGTAATGGATTTTTGTGTGTGGGTAAGTGTCTGAACCCTTCAGAGTAATGGATATTTGTGTGTGGGTAAGTGTGTCTGGACCGTTCAGAGTAATGGATATTTGTGTGTGGGTAAGTGTGTCTGGACCGTTCAGAGTAATGGATATTTGTGTGTGGGTAAGTGTGTGGACCCTTCAGAGTGATGGATATTTGTGTGTGGGTAAGTGTGTGTGGACCCTTCAGAGTAATGGATTTTTGTGTGTGGGTAAGTGTCTGAACCCTTCAGAGTAATGGATATTTGTGTGTGGGTAAGTGTGTCTGGACCGTTCAGAGTAATGGATATTTGTGTGTGGGTAAGTGTGTCTGGACCCTGGATATTCTACGGTGGGTAATTGTCTTTACATTTCAGTTAAAGTCACTTTTTTTCTGGATGCAAATGTAAAAATCCTCTTTTATGCCAAATGGAATAATACAAAAGTATATGACATATTTTTACCTATTTGATATATAGAATCTGATCACTGAAAATCCCATTTGTGGATAAAAATCCTGTCAAGTCAGTGGTGGTTGTCAGGTCATGAGCGAATACTGGTTGTGTAATTCTGACTAATGCGTAGTCTGGGAACCAGCTGTGATGAATCATGTCTTGGCATGACTGCATTTTTTGGTCACTACATACATGGAAGTCCTCGTTTTAATCAGAAATGTCCAAAACATAAAACTCTCTTCTCATTTCTTAAATCAAGATTTTGGAGATAAAGGCCACTAACTCAGGCACTGTATTGATTAATTGATGGCTATTTTGATGCTGCAAAGGCATTGTAAGTCTATTTCAGAACATTTTCTTCAGGTTAGAAATGTCAATAGAATAGAAGTTCTAAAAACACAACCAGAAGATTTGAGTGTGACTTCACGGTCACCTTCATTAGATAAATGACCAGTGTGGAGCGTACCAACACTGACGTACGTTATGTAGGAGATAGTTACAGTGACGTCCCATGTCTTTTTTATCTTATGATAAATTCTCTAATTTCTATGTTTTTCATTGATTTCATTTAGGGTTGGATTTTGAAAATATCTTGACATTTTGTACAATAATAGCCATATTTTCTTTTCATAATATTAATTAAAATTTTCCATTGTTTATTTCAGGAGCAGTACAAAATACTGCTAAATTCCAATGTCAAAATGGCATTCCGAAAATCACATGTTGTGACTAGATTATAATTTCCGTGGCCATACGCAATGGAATACAATGGAAATGACATGATATGAAACAATTTTCTTTAAGTGTACAAAATTGCATTGAAATGATCCATGAAGAAAACAGGTTAGAAATACAAAGAGTATATATATATAGTACAGAAAAAAAAAAAAATTGCAAAAGAGTTATGACACGTCACTGTAAGAACTGATCAACAATTTCGACTGTACTATATTCCTATGCATGCTAAGGTCGAAAATAATTTATCTAATGAAGATGGCTGTGTAGTCATCGAAACATCACACTCTAATCTTGAACTGGTTGTGTTATAAAAACTTCTATACTATTGACATTGTCAGTTATAACTGTACAATGGCATCCACCCTTCAAAATATAATGACATCATGGGTAAAGGTCAAAAGGTTACGTCTATCATTGCTGTGCAGGCTTGATCATGTTTTCATACATTGTCACCAGAGTAATCAAATAAACTGCCTCTAAATACACTATTTCATATATATAGCATACTACTGCGACGCCATCAATGAAAGGCATTGAATTATCATAAAAAGCGTATGTCTGTTTACCACATGTGAAGTAATTGGATTAATACATTTGGACATTAGAATGATCCTCTAAGTGAATAAAATCCAAAGAGTCAATTCAGTTGTTCTTAAACAGTTAAAATTTTGGATTTCATATGTTTTTAATTTTCCATGTATTACACAGAAAACAATTTGAACGCCTTTATTGGGGAGCAAGGCCAAACCGGACTGAAAGGAGAAAGAGGATTACAGGGAGCACGAGGGCAGCAAGGCGTTGTTGGAGCAACAGGGCCAATAGGTCTTAAGGTAAAATAGGATGTCACTCTCCAATAAATTATTGGATTCGCTTGGTGTGCCTTTTACACACAAGCTTCCAGTTATTTCAAGTATTGGTAACTTTGTCATCATCGGTAGCATTGTGTAAAATAGCATGTAGTTTTTATGCAATGTTTCAACTTCTCTTCCGCCAAAGTATTCAGATTGTTTGCGGTTTCTGTTTATGGTGTAAATGTCGATGTCAGCGTCATTGATTATAAGTAGAGAATTATTCACCTTCCATTATTACAAGTTTGAAAACCTACGTCTAAATTATAAATAGGTTTATAACGGCTTGGCTGATACATGTATCGGGTCCCAGGATGAACACGAGTAACACAGATAAAGGGTACGCATTATCTGCAATCAGCATGATATATACTTTTTCTCCTACAAAACAAAAGAAAATACAGACATAATTAGGGCTTTTCACCATTAAAAGACCTATTGTTTTTGTTATGTTTCTTATTCTTATTATTATTATTATTATTATTTTTCTTCCGAACTTTGTGGGTTTGTAATCTTTTAAATGGTAAAGACCACACCTAATATGTATTGACTATGTTATAGGTACATACTGGAAGGTCATGATGCAGATTTTTTAAGTGGGTCAAAAATCCAATATGGCCGCTATGACGTCATAAGTTAAAAACTTTAAAACGGCCGTAACTCGAAAACCGTTGAGTGTACAGAGTTTGTCCAATTATGTTATTTGTAGACAATTTCCTTATCTAACTTTTCTCTATGCCATTATAATACAAAATATGTCTAATAAAAAAGCTCGCTGTGGGGTCAATATTTGAAAATTTGAAAACAAAATTTTTTTTTTTCAATTTTGATTTTTCTTGAAAATTTCTTTAACACATCGATGCAGAATGTCCTTCCGATGAATTTAGTGATTTTAGTTTTTCTGTAACGTTTACCACTTCCGTTGTATGCCATTTTGAAAATTTCCTTTGATCTTTTAAAACTGCCGACAATTTGGAAAAACTCCATCTAGATCTTTACCAATGGGCTTTTTTTGGAATAATTTATATTAGAAAGGTTTCCCCAGATGTCCTTTACCATTTAGTGTCATTTACAAATTCATCAGAAAAACAAAATGGCCGCCATGACGTCATATCCGATTTTACCTAAATGGCTGTAACTCAATAACGGCTCAAGCTATTGACTTAAGCTTAAAGCAGATTATAAACATAACCCTGCAAACATATTTCGTCAGAAAAAATTTAGATAAATGGTGAACTTCCAGTTTTTGGTAGGGGTCAAAGTTGAAAACTGCAATTTCGGGTTACTAACTTTGACGAACTTCTTCTCAAGTTCTGCAAAGCCTTGAGTCTTGATATTTCATGTGTAAGATGTCTTATCAATTATTTATCAGGTTTGTTAATATAAATGACCTTGACCCACTTTCAAGGTCACAGGAGTTAATTATGTAAAAATCGTTAAATGGTAATTTCTCCTTTGTTAAGCTGCCCAAAGTCTTCAACTTTGGACATAAATATTCTGTGGACATTTCCTGTCGAGTGATATAAGAGAAACGTACCTCAAATTCAACTTCCGGTTTGCAGTAGGAGGTCAAAGTTGAAAAGTGCTATTAAGGGTACCAATCTTTGAAAAACTTCTTAAGTTCTGGAAGGCCTAGAGGCTTGATATTTCATATACAGGAAGGATATGTAACCCACAACAAAGTTTGATAATATAAATGACCTTGACCCACTTTCAAGGTCACAGATGTCAATTAACTCAAAATCGTTAAATGAAAGTTTCTCAATTTCTAGAAGGCATACGATGATGAAAATTGATTATAAACCTTCTGTGCAGACTTCCTAGTGATTTTCATATGGAAAACTTCCCTCAAAATGTCAACTTCCGGTTTCTTAAAGGGGTCAAAGTTCAAATATACAAAATAGGGTACCAGTGTTCAACAATCTTCTTGTCAAGTTTCACAAGGTCTAGAGAACTAATATTGGGGATATATTGATCATCAGATGTTACATTATAAGGCTTGCAAATATGAATAACCTTGACCGACATTCAAGGTCACAGGGGTCAAATATGTTTTAACCTTTAAAAAGTGTATTTCTTTGTTATGATGTAGTTATATCTCCTTAATGTTTCAAGATTCAAAGTTCATCTTTGGATATGTTGTAGAGACTAACAAAAAAGGAATCTTTCTCATATATTGTTATCAGGATAAATGTCAACTTCCTGTCAACTTGTCGCCAAAGAAGTGAAAAGCCCGCCAAATTGTTAACAATAATTTCTAGTTCAAACTGAAATTCTATGAAACATGATTAAAAAATTAAAAAAAGTAGCAGTGGAGTGAGAACATGTATTTGGGAAGAGTTGGCTATTTCTGTTCCATTTAAACCTTGGTCAATCCAAGTAAGTTATGTCTTGTTCCTATTTGAGAATAAGGTAGACAGCAGTGGAACTATCAGAGGTTCTACTGAGCATTGAACACACCCAAACTAACCCTGCAGATGGTATTAAAATATCTCCCAGTGAGATGATTGTAATCCCCAATTTTACCTTGATCTCAATTTCTAGTTGGTACGGTGGTCGTGGTGGTCATGGAATATCTTGTTTACTGAAGACATCACAATTTATTTAGAAATGATATAGAAGGCAAGATCTTTATGACCAATTCAGTCTCAAATGAAAACAAATACAAATTGGTATTATTACTGGGTGCCCTATTTATGGGCACAATAACAATACATTGCAATCGGAAGGAGTGACATTGAGATCAGGATTATGAAAAACAGACTTTATTGTTGTTTTGTTTTTGGTACAAGGATACAAATATATGTTGTGTGGTATAATTGTCTTATGAGATAAAATCTCAAAATGAGTTTCATATTGGGCACTGATAGAACTGTATCCTACACTGTGTGATATCGACATTATGTACCTTCTAGTCAGTCACCAAAATTACTAATTAATAATTATATCTATGAGATAAGATAATTTTTAAAAAGTTGCAATAGAAAGCAAATGTGACAAGTGACAACATAACCTGATGATGTGTGTATGTACACTTAAAATGTTGAAGATCTAGAATTTACTTGACCACTGAATGATGGATAAATGTAGTATTTGGAAACTGGCATGTTTGGGAATTATGACTAGCATGTCATTATTGTATTTCTGTTTTCACTGTCAGAGGGGGCCGTGTATTGTCCCCATCATAACCCGTCATTTTCAGGAAGTGAAGTTAACAAAACATTGTCAAAATGGACGCATTTCTCCATTTTACATGTATGTAAAATGAAGAGGATATCTCAGTTTTTCCTTGTTCAGTATAATTTCGATGTTACCTTTTATTTGAAATACATGTGTTTAAGGGTGAAGCTGGAGTACAGGGAGTTCAGGGATTTCAAGGAATAACGGGTCCAGTGGGTCCCCAGGGAGCTGGAGGAATCACCGGAATAAAAGGAGACAAGGGAGATACTGGACTGAAGGGGGAGAAGGGGTCTGTTGGTTCGGCTGGAGTCACAGGTCAAGTTGGTCCAATGGGAATGACCGGGGCTACAGGGTTACCTGGGATAGATGGACTGAATGGCATCAAAGGAGCAAAGGGACAAAAGGGAAATATAGGTATGAACCTTTTATTTGAAACTAAATAGTCAAAATTGTTTTTAAACAAAGGATGCCTATAGTTTGATCTCCCAGTTGTTTGTAAAACATCATGAGAAATGTTTTCAGAGGAATTCAAATGTCATAAGGCACATGTACTAATTCTGTTTCATTCAATGTATGCATTCCCAGGAGTGACAGGTCCCACAGGAAGCACTGGTGAGCCAGGTCTTCAAGGCATGCAGGGGCAGACGGGAGCAACAGGACTGGCAGGAAGCGTAGGACTCAAGGGAGAACCTGGAATTCGGGGCATGACAGGTGCCACTGGACCAATGGGAGTAGCTGGTCCCCAGGGGCCAATATTTCAAGGTACAAAATGTAACTGACATTTGTTAATAAATTTTTTATCGTTTTATTGATATTGTCAACAAGGTAAGCTCTAAGAGGAATGTACAAAGAGACAAGAAGATAGAGCCATCAAGTTATTGTGTCTAAAATGAGAATATGTCCAATATCGAATAAAAAAGCAGCGATTATACCACTTGTATGGCTCATTAGCGATAAGACTTCATGTGTAGTGATAAAAGGACCGAAGGTTTGGTGATAAGACATTGAGTTTGGTGGTAATAGGACATAAGATGTAGCGATAATAGGACTTAGGTGTAGCTGTAAAAGGATAAAGTGTGATGATAATAGGACTTAAGGTGTAGCTGTAATAGGACTTAAGGTGTAGCTGTAAAAGGATAAAGTGTGATGATAATAGGACTTAAGGTGTAGCTGTAATAGGATCTAAAGTGTGATGATAATAGGACTTAAGGTGTAGCTGTAATAGGATCTAAAGTGTGATGATAATAGGACTTAAGGTGTAGCTGTAATAGGATCTAAAGTGTGATGATAATAGGACTTAAGGTGTAGCTGTAATAGGACTTAAGGTGTAGCTGTAATAAGATCTAAAGTGTGATGATAATAGGACTTAAGGTGTAGTTGTAATAGGATCTAAAGTGTGATGATAACTGGACTTCAGGTGTAGCTGTAATAAGATCTAAAGTGTGATGATAATAGGACTTAAGGTGTAGCTATAATAGGATCTAAAGTGTGATGATAATAGGACTTAAGGTGTAGTTGTAATAGGATCTAAAGTGTGATGATAATAGGACTTAAGGTGTAGTTGTAATAGGATCTAAAGTGTGATGATAATAGGACTTAAGGTGTAGTTGTAATAGGATCTAAAGTGTGATGATAATAGGACTTAAGGTGTAGCTGTAATAGGACATAAGGTGTAGCTGTAATAGGACTTAAGGTGTAGCTGTAATAAGATCTAAAGTGTGATGATAATAGGACTTAAGGTGTAGTTGTAATAGGATCTAAAGTGTGATGATAACTGGACTTCAGGTGTAGCTGTAATAAGATCTAAAGTGTGATGATAATAGGACTTAAGGTGTAGCTGTAATAGGATCTAAAGTGTGATGATAATAGGATTTAAGGTGTAGCTGTAACAGGATATAAAGTGTGATGATAATAGGACTTAAGGTGTGGAAATGATGGCATTGTAAAATTATGGTTATGTAAGGCATCTTTTTAATTAGATAACTTTTATGATCTAGTTTCCGATATACACACGAATTCTGATGCTAGCCCGAAAGATGGTGGCCATCTTTCTGGTTGCCGAAGGTGTTCGACATTGACATTGGAGACATTTATTGTAACGACGTGCTAGATTGTGTCACCGAAATGTGAATGGGAGAGTACAAAGATGATAATGTTTGTGCCATATTCCGATAGACATTTCTCCGCTTCAAGTGAGTTTGTCCAGGAATCGATGTAAATAACATTTTAGACCGATAGTCCACGCAGAGAAATATGTTAAGTCTTTTCAAAAAACTTGACCTACATCCTAACCTGAATCTATCCTCAACTTGATTGGAAAGTCGGCAAATCAATGGTTGAAAGGAGCATTTTGATTGACCAAGACAATGTGAAAGACTGTTTCGAACAAAATTGTTCAGGTCTTGTTATTTAGCTCACCTTTTCTGAAGGACTGGTAGGCTTATACCATTGCATGGCGTCAACTGTTTGTCCGTCATCGTGTGTCCGGCGTCCACTACTACTAGTCCTAAATGACAGAGCTGATTTTGACCAAATTTGTTCAGAAACATCCTTGGGGGAAAAGGAACATATTTTGTATAAATGGTGTGTCTCTACTCTGATGGCCTGAGGGACAAGACCCAAAAGAGAAATTTTGCAAGTTCTTTAAAATTCTACTCCTCTGGTAGGAATGATTAGATTTAGGTCAAATTTGGTCGCAAGGTTTCTTTTTGTGAAAGGATTTCAATGTTTTGTAAATGGTGCCTCTTGGTCCTCTTGGGCGGGAGATGAAGGACTCAATGGGTTAGAGAGAACAAATTCTTTAAAATCCTACTGGTCTTGTAGGAACGATTGGATTTTGTCCAAAGGTTTAAGTATGTTTGGGTGAAGGGAAATCAATTTTGATTAAATGGTAGGTCTTGGCCTCCGAGGGCAGGGAGGGAGGGACTCAATAGGGTAAGTGGGTTATGTCTTTAAACTGTTGAAATCCCCACCTAATAACTATATATAGTATTTCTGGGCATACAGAGAAAAACACAATCGGGACAAAGAATTGGCCCAGAGGCACGAAGTGTTCTTGGTATCTTTGAAGCAGTTGGGATTCCCTCCCCATAGTCATATATGGCAATGTTTGGATTAAGAGATAAACACAATCATGATGTGAGAACTGGTCCTGGGCTCTGGTCCCACCCCATGGACTTCATTCTGGGTTATATCATTGAAACATTCGTAATCCTCACTTCCATAACCAAAAAGAGTAATGCTGGGCATCAAGAGGTAAACTCAATCATGATGTAAGAATTGGGAAGGGGATGTGACCCCTCACCTCCGGTCTTGGTTTTTGGGTTATATCTTTGAAACAGTTGATATTCCAACCCCATAACCATATATAGTAATGCTATGCATCAAGAGTTAAAAACAGTAACAATGTAAGAACTGGACCTTTGAGGCGGCTCCATCCCTCTGGATACATATCTGGGTAATTCTTTGAAACAGTTGATATCTCAACCCCATAACCATATATAGCATTGCTTGTCATCAAGAGATAGATTAAATCATGATGTCAAAATTTGCTCTGGGATGTGCCCCCACCCCTCTCAATTTAATTGTGGGTTATATCTTTGAAACAGTACAGATCCCAAGTCCATCATCATATACCCTCTTACTGAGGATCAAAGAGAAAGGCTTTAAGATCGAGGTGAGCAATACAGGCCCTATATGCTTCTTGTTGTTGAATTTTATTTTAACACTTCATTGCATCTCCTGTCCATCCATTATTGTCATCACCAACAGATGGTTGGCTAATTGCCCTATATCCGTGGTCCATCATCTGTCGCCTGTTGTCCGGCCGTAGGCAATTCTTGATATTGCTGTCATCTCTAAAGTAGGTTTTTCATGATCCACAAATGTGCCCATCAGATTTTAGGGCTGATCAAATAAACAAAATTCCTGAAAGGTGGCCACCTTGGATTTTGAAAATAAAAGATTGTTTTCGCTATATTTTTGAGATGTCCGAATTGATGTTTCTCAAATTTCATATCTAGGCACCAATTGCTCCATAGCTTTGTTCATTTGATTTTTAGACTGACCAGAATAAAAAAAAAGAAATGGCTTACAGACATCCATCTTGGATTTTAACGATGAACCTTTATTATCCCTATTTTCTGAGAAGTAGTGGATGGATATTTCTCAAATTTCATATGTCTTGGCACCTATATGTAGTTGTGTTCTCATATTATTTTAGAAATGGTAAAAAAATGACTGACAGACCGCCATCTTGGATTTTGACAATGAAAATTTGTTATGGCTTTTTCCTGAAAAGATTTGACAATGAGAGCTTAATAATAGGAATTTTCAAATTTCATTTATTAAGAAACACAGAAAAGAAGGAAAAGTTAGGGAAAAATCCATCTTTGATCGATCTTTGAAAGAAGAAATAAAAATCAAGCAAAGGTTGATGCCAAGATCCCTTTGGGATTTCGTGGTGAAAAGTTCTGATGTATTACATTGGGCCATTATTCCTGTGAAAGTTCAAAGCTTTATCCTGTATGTATGCTTTTTCTCTCCAGTTGTCTTGGAATATTTCCACTAGCAGAATGTGATGCACAAAAGCTTAAAGGAGTGTCCAAAAATCTCACAATAAAACCTTTAGCTCAAATAAAAAGGCATCGTTGCCTTGGAACAAATGGACATTTTAATTCTATTATGCTTTGACTTTTTATTACGGTTCTACAGTGATCCTACTTCCCATTTAGGAAAAATCGTCTATCCACAGAAGAAAAAAAATTGAATCTTTTGTAACTTGCAAATTCCATGCTGAAGACAGGCAGATATTAAATTTGATTCCTATCTTTATTTTTTATGTCTGCCTAGTTACATAGTGTTACATAACTTAGCATGGTTAATTCAATGTTTGTATTGCAGGAGGACAGAATGATGATTTTATAATGACTGGCTTCGGGAAAAACTGGTATTGTTGGCATCAGAAGTATTTAAGTTTGAAAGACAGTGCGTGCATTTTAAGATTGTGGACTCTCTATTACAGAAACTGTGTTGTGTTTTCCATTTACAAAAAATGAAAGTTCATTGGATATTTTAAGTTATACTATCGATTCTGGATATTAATTGATACAAAATATTCGTATCTTACAGATATAGACGAATGCCAGATAAACAATACGTGTGATCACAACTGTATTAACACTATTGGCAGCTACTATTGTACCTGTAATGACGGCTACATCCTCAGTGTTCTGGACAACTCCACATGTAATGGTAAATATTTCACCTGCCAAGTGTTTTATTCAGTAACATATATCATTTTTGGTATGGATATGCCAGTTGGTATATATGTTTAATTTCACGGAAGTAACTTCTTTTTGTACATGTCTTATAAATAATGCTGGTTCTCGTGCCTCTGTTTTTGGGAAATCGGACACTGTATGTCAAAAATAA